TGGTACGGCCAGGAGATCCGCGCTCTGCGCGCCCAGTGGCTCAGCAGCCGGGCCCAGCCCTGACGGGGTGACGGGTCCCAAGGTCACCAAGGCTCCTGCTCTACAGGACGCAGGCCCAGCCCTGAAGAGACTGGGGGGCTGGGTTAGGGACACTGTGGCCAAGGCCAGCCCTGCAGGCCCTGAGCGCCTGGTCTCGGGACTCAAGTGCTGAGAAGGTGCTGGATTCTGAGGGGCCGTTAGGACCCTGTGACTCAGAAGGCCCAGCCTTGAGGAGACCGTCGTGCCTGGCGGTAGCAGAATCCAGGCCGTGCATGAGCCTCTGGAAGCTTGAGGTTTCTGGAGAACTCGAGCCCTGGGCCCGGCCTGAGCTGCCCACCAGGGGCCTCTTGCTGGCAACAGGCCTCGCCGGGCCGCAGCTCAGACGGTCACTGGACCCAACGGCAGTCCACGCCTGAAAAGCAAACGCCCGGTCAGCGCCGGCCCTCCACGTGGACAGAGGGGCTGGGCCATGGCACACCACACCTGGGCCTTGCCCCAGGCCAGCCTGCCGCCTTCCAGAAGCAGCAGGTACAGAAGGGAGCTCAGAGCGCTGCCAATGGGGAAGGAGGTGCAGGTTTTCACATGTGACCGGTAGGGTGAGATCGCCTGGGCCCCATGCCAGGCGTTAGGTGGTGCTCCTGGCACGGCAGTGGCTCTCTGGCCTCGGGCCCTGTCTTTGTGCCCTTACCTGGCTCTCCCGACACTTGACTGTCTCCTTCGGTCTCCTTCCCCCCGGGAGCCAGCTCTTCTCTCCGGGGCCTGGGGCGGGGCCCTTGGGAGCTGCCTGACCTCCTGTCCTGGTCTGGGCAGCGTGGCCTGAGCTGACTCTCCAGCAGGTTCGTCCAGGGAGGGGAGGCCACAGCTGACTCACTGCCTGGGAAGGGCCCAGGTGCCGACCCAGCGGCAGAGAAAAGCGGCTGCAGAGTTGGCACCCTCCCTCCAGCTCCAGGCAGCACCCGCTTCTGAGCAGCTCGGGGGAATCCGGGCCTCACCGGGCCCGAGGCTGACAGCCGGACCACCCTGCTCACCGCAGTGCCACTGCTCGTCCAGGAAGAACTTTAGGGCTCCGGCCCTAAGCCTGGGTCATGTTTACAGTCCTCAGTGCCCTGCATGGGATGCCCTGAGGACACCTCCACCCCACCTTTATTTCCCTGGAGACTGCCTCTTGGTGACAGACTCAGCCCGCAGCCCCTTCTGTCTTTGGGGACTCTGGGGTTTGGGGAACATGGCAGGGCAGGGGGCGACGTGTCCGCAATCACGGCCTGTCCAGCTCGCTGCTGGCTCAGTGGGCTGGGGCTCCAGCTTGAATTTTATTTTTAAATACCTAGGGTTTATTTTTTTCTGGCAACAAAGCTTGGTGTTTTCATTCCTTTTGTTTCCTGTTGGCTGGTGGGAAGGGATGGGGGCCCTGGCTCTGGGACTGGCTGGGGGGACAGTGGGCACTGCCTCCGGGGAGAGGGGCAGCCTCGGCTGGAGAAGCACAGCTCAGAGATGCCACGGTGCCTCCAGAGGGGATCTCACCTGGTTCTCCCTCTGGCAGGTACCTCTGGGGTCTTGGTACGGTCCCCTTCCCCAGCTTCCAGAATCTTGAGGGGTGAGGGTGGGGGTGGTGGCTGCCGTCCATGGGCTCCAGAGGAGTGTTAGGAGCTGCCCAGAGCCCCAGTCCTAGTGCAGGTTTACAAACTCTCAAGGTACAGTGGCCCTGGTCTCCTGGGGGACAGTGGTGGGGGATGTCCCCCTACCAAAGCACAAGATGAGGTCAGGCTGCCTCCGGGCTTGGGTCGGGGGAGAGACGTCAGGTGGCCTGGGAGTGGGATGCAAGAGTTAAAATAAACAAAAGTGTGTCAAGTACTGGCTGGTTGTGTCATTTTTCCCCCATCAAAATCCACGATCGATTTGCCTGGCAGAGCCCGGGGCAGGCCCCATGGGGACATGACTAGTGTGTGGTCTCCATAGCTCTGACAGGCATATTCTCACAACCTCTTCAGGCAGATCCTGGCCCCATTTCACAGATGAGGAAACTGAGGCTCAGAGAGGGTGTGAAATTTGCCAGGGCCACACAGCTGGAGAGCACCAGAGCAGCAATGTCAACTTCGGGGGTCCTGTGGCAGGACAGAGCCTTCGGGAGGGACATGAGGGAACATGGAACACAGAGTTAGTTCCTCTGTAGAGCAAGAGAAGGGGGAGGAAAGACAGGACTTGAGTGTCAGCTGTGGCTGAGACCTGAGTTGGGAGGGAAGTTAGTGGTGATTCAGATCAGGATGGCAAATGGAAGAGTCAGGACCTGACTTTCCTCACTGACCAGTCAAGGAGGCTGCCTGGGAGCCTGGGGGAATTCTGGCAGCAACACATGTTCAGAGAGAAAGATGCTGCGATTGATTAGTAATGCCTGCCGTGAGCACCTGGTGGATGGTAGCAGCACTGACGCCATCTGCTCTCTCAGATCGGTTTGCTGGGCTAATGGGGGGTTTATAGAAGGGAAGGGGGTGGCCCAAGGTGGCCCAGCATGAGGGACTAGGTCCTAGGTCTTCCTAATGTGGACTTGGAGCTTGGGTCTCCCTCACAAGTCTGGAAAAATCATGCACAATTTAGGAAGATGTGGCTTAGCATGGGCCACCTACAGTCCTCACGTTCAAGAAATGGAAAATATTAAGGTCAGGGACTCATGCCACTTGTGAGCATCCAGCACGTGCTGAGTAATTCTTTCCATCTCTCATGGGACCACAGCTGACAGATGGGGGCCGGGGAAGTGGCTGAGTCAGGGCGCTGCTGTGGCATTTGTGACCGCAGCCACCACAGGGCATGGGGCACAGAGTGGGGGAAATAGCAGGAGAGAGACAGCTCCGAGAGAGGGTCATAAGTGTGCCCTTACCTGCTGTAATGTTTCCTTCGAGCCAACTGAAGGGCGGAGGGGGAGAAAAATCGGTCAATACCAAACGTGCATCCACCTGCTAACATGTTGGTGTTTCCTCTTGACCCCGGGGAGGTGTCAGGGCACACGTCTAGGGGGTGTATATAAGTGGTCAGAAGGAATATTCTGAGAAGACACTTGGGGTAGGGGGTGAGACCCTCAAAAGGGACACTCAGGCCAGAATTTATGGCTGGTTGCCCAACATCCATCCACCCTGAGTAATTAGTCAAATTCAATCGGTCATGCTGCTATAGGCTTGCAGGAAATGGCTAAACTTTAGCTGCCAAAGAATGGCTGTATGATCCAATTTTGGCCAATGAGATGTGAGTAGAAAGGTCTTGTTTTAAAAAGAGACCCAGTAAAGAGCTCTCTCACTGTTCTCCTCTCTTGGGGGCGGGGGAGGGGGGCAGGAGGAGTTGTGTCTGACGCCAGGAGCTCTGGCAGCCATCTTGCCATCATGAAGCAGGCTGCTCTAAAGAAAATGCCCTATGCCAAGTTTGGCACACACTTGAGGGCGGCCCTGGGTAACCAACCACAGGGCTGTTGTTGGCTCAGCGGGGTGCAGGCTGGGGCTAGAACAGGAGTCCCTGGAACAGCAAAGGAGTCACTGCTTCTCATCCTTTCAAAGCCTTCCATTTCTCCTGAGTAAACAAATATTGAAAGAATATCATGTCCCCATATGGCCCTGCACCTTGTATGTTCCTAAATGGGGCTGCTTTGTCCCTACTCTGTGGCTAGATCTGGTGCCAGCTGTCCTCAACCCCTCCCCAGATCACCTTACCACACCGTATACAAACTTTGGTATGAAAAAGTCTCTGCCACCTCTCCCAGTCTTTAAATCTCAGCATCCAAAATGACACTCTTCCAAGGTAGTAAAATAATAAGCTGCTTAAGGCCAGCTGTAGGTTTGTGTTTTTTGATGAAGACTTTCTAAAAGGCGGGCCTATGAGAAAATATTTGCAAATCACTTGCAATCTGATAAGGGATTGATATGCAGAATATGTAGAGAACTCCTAAAACTCCACAACAACAGAACAACCTGATTAAAAAATGGGCAAAGGACTTGAACAGACATTTCTCCAAAGAAGATACACAAATGGCAAAGCAGCTCATGAAACAGTGCTCGACATCACTAACCAGTAGCGAAATGCAGATCGAAGCTACAGTGAGACACCACCTCATACCCCTTAGAACGGCTACTGTCAAAGGAACAGAAATAACAAGTGTTGCTGAGGATGTGGAGAAAGTGGAACCCTGTGCACTGTTGGTGGGAACGTAAAATGGCACGGCCACTGTGGAAAACAGTATGGCGGTTCCTCAAACAGTTAAAAACAGAATTACCACCTGATGCAGCAATTCCACTTCTGGGTGTACGTCCAAAAGAATCAGAGGCAGGGTCTCGAAGAGATGTTGGTACAACGATGTTCACAGCAGCATTATTCATAATAGCAAAACGTGGACGTAGCCAAGTGCCCGCCAGTGAATGAATGGACAATCAAAATGGGGTCTATCCAGCAATGGGATATTATTCATCCTTAAAAAGGAAGGAGGCTGGGTGCGGTGGCTCATGCCTGTGATCCCAGACCTTAGGGAGGCTGAGGTGGGAAGACTGCTTGAGGCCAGGAGTTCAAGATCAGCCTGGACAACATGGTAAGACCCCGTTTCTACAAAAAACTAAAATAAAAAAAAAAGGGAGGAAATTCTGACGCACGCTACAACATGGATGAACCTTGAGGACATCATGCTAAGGGAAAAAAGCCAGGCACGAAAGGACAAATACTGTAATTCCACTTACTTGAGGTCCCAAGTGTAGTCATATTCATAGGGACAAAAAGTAGCATTGTGGGTGCCAGGGGCTGGGGGAGGGAAGTGGGGAGTTAGTGTTTAACGGGCACAGAGTCTAGTTTACAAGATGAAGCGTTCTGGAGATGGTGGTGGTGGCGGCTGCACAACGTTGTGAACGTGCTTAGTGCCACCGGACTGCGCACTTGAAGATGGTTGGGACGCTAAGTTTTATGGTACGTATGTTTTACTACAGTAACAGTACATTTTAAAAGGTGAGCCCATGAGCTGTTTCCTCCTGAGGGTTGCAGAAAGCTTGCCCTCCTGACAGGGGCTGGCCGCCCCTCCCCTCCCTGCGCTTGGGGCTACGAGTGGAGCTGCTCTCGCCCGGCGCCAGGGCCACGGCTGTCACTGCGCCTCTGCTCGTGGGGCTGAGATCCCAGGCAGGGCTCCCGGCCGCTAGACTGCAGTCTGCCTCCCATGTGCCCCCAGGGCCTGGCACAGAGGAGCCGTCGTCATCCCCGCCCCTCTCTCGCTCACCCAATTCCTCCCGTCCCGAGACACAAGCTGAGCCAATCGGGGTCCTGGGAATGTGGAACTGCGGGGACAGAGGCTCGGGTACCAGAGGGCGCTAAACTGAAGACCTGACGGAGGAGCGGCCGTTCCAGACGGCCATGATGTCGGGGAGAGAAACCACCAGGCCTTCGCGAGAGCGAAGCAGATCAGATTAGACCACGCAGGACCCCGAAGCCTGGCTGACCTTCTGCCTTTGGGTCTCCCAAGATCTCCCCTGGGTCCTCCCAACAAACCGTCTGCACAGTTAAGTGACGAACAATTTCTTTCAACCCAACAGTCCTGGCTGTGATGAGACACCCGGCGGACACCTGCTCTGTCTCCTCTTCTCTTAGCCTCTTCCGTTTGCCAGGGTCCTTCCCAGGGACCAGCACGCCCGGGTGGCCAGAGAACACCGAAGGGGTTAGAACTGCCTCCCGTTGCTGGAGACCTGTGATGTCTTCGTTTGCATCTGAGTCACCTGGGCACTTAAAAATACAGATTCCTGGGCTCTGGCTCCCGGAATTCTGGGTAAGTGGGGACAGGGCCCAGGAAGCTGCGTTCCGAGCAGGACGCGAGGGTGTTTGGGACACAGCTGAAGAAGCGCTCGTTTACTCTTCGAAGAAAGGCATGTGGCAGTGTGCCGCAGCCTCTGAGATGGCTCCCGTGAGCCCTGACTCCTGGTCCCCTCCCACACTGAATCACGGTGGCCTGTGTGGCCAACAGGATCCCGTGGCTGTGACCATGGGGCTTCCCAATCTAGGTCACAGAAGACACTGCAGCCTCTGCCGTGGCTGCTCCTGGGGAAGCAGCTGCTGTGCTGGGAGGACACTCGAGCAGCCCCAGGGACGGCCCCGCGTGGAGAGGAACTGAAGTCCCCAACCCACAGCCAACACTGCCTTGCAGGCCGCAGGAGTGCGCCTTCTTGGACGCGGGTCCTGCAGTCCCAGAACAGCCTTCCAGTGACTGGAGCCCTGGCTGACGGCTTACCTGCCACCTCCGAGAGACCCACCAGCCGGAACGATCCAGTGAAGCCCCCCAGCTCCCCGACTCACAGACTGCGAGAGGGAAGGGTTTATAACTGTAAGCCGCTCAGTTTGGTGTCATTTGTTTGGTGGCAATAGGCGACTGATACTAGTGGCTACTATTCTGATCCTGTCCCTCTACAGATAAGGAAACTGAGTCTCCTCGCAGGGCCCTAGGATTACCCGATAGCGGAGATTCGAATCTGGGTGGCTGAGTTCAAAGCCAGTGCTCTGGCACCCACGCCCTAGGAGGCCAGAGAAACCTTATCCCTCTCATCGACCTGGAGTGAGGAGTCACCTTGGCTAAGGTCACCCAGCCTGTCCGGGGGTGTTCCCAGCCCCAGACCCCTTGCGCTTGGGTTTCCATGGCAACGCAATCTGGTGACTTGGCCTCTGGAATAAGCCTGCCCCACCCCCAGAGGGGCCAGTCAGCCAGGGAAGGTTTGGTTTTGTTCATTCCCCAGGAGCTGATGGGATGTGGGGCTGCTGGCTCAGCAGGAGGAGCTAAACCAGGAGGAAGAGGAGGGCAGGCTGGGAAGCAAGGGGCAGGGGTGCAGAGGCCTGCGGCTCAGGGCTGCAGTGCAGTGGGCCCTGCCCCACCTGCAGCCCCACCATCTCCCCAGGCAGATGGAACCTCCCAGCCTCCTAAAAATGTAAGTCTGGACACAGCCACCTCCTGCCTCACACCCTCCATGGCTCTCCAGTGCCCTCAGGAGAAAGGCCTATTTCCTGCCATGCCCCAAGGGGTGTCACGATCTGGCCCCTGTTCCTCTTAAGGCCTCTCTGCCTCCTACCTCAGCTTCCGGTCTCCTTTGGACTCCCCCCAACCCACCCCAAGTTCTTACCCAGTCTCACCTCTTGCCTGCTTTCTCTGCATTCCTCCTCTGCTTCTCTTTTCTCTCAGCAGCCTTCGGGTGTCCGCTGAGATGCCTCCTCCCCCAGGAAGCCTTCCAGGACCCCTCTGCCTGTGCTCTCCTGGCCCCTGTGTTTCCTCCATCAAAGCACCGAGCACACAGTAGGTACTCAGTAAGTGCTTATTAGCTGGATGAATAGTTGCCTCTTGATCCAAACCCGCCTCCTCCTGGAAGGCCTTCCTGTCCTTCTCGCCCCCATTCGCAATCCCACATTGCTGTGTTTTTGCTGCATTGTTGCTCGAGGGCAGTGACTGCAGGTGCGATGTCAGCACCAGAGCCGATGACCCAGAGCCACGGGGCGGCTGCTGCCTCAGGTTCTCAGGTGGCTTCTAGGTGCCGGATTCCGTTCCTGCCCCCATGTGCCCCGGGGGGGCCACGTCCTGGGGCTTTCCGACCTCTGACCTTCTCAAGAGCTGTAAACCAACGGTCAAAGGGCCAGTCCTTGGCTTTACTTAATGCAAATCTTTACAGCTGCCTTGGGAGGAAGGTGTCATTACTATCGCCCCCACTTCACAGCCGGGGAAACTGAGGCAGGGAGTGATTTGGGCACTGGCTACTACCCTCCTGCCCTTCCCTGACTCTGAGGACAGGCCAGCCTGCCTGAAATGTCACCCTTCGTGGGCTGGCTCAGGGCTCCAGGTTGATGGAGACTTTGGCCCTTACCGGCCACTACCCCCAGGGGGCCATCCTACTGGGCTTGGGGCAACTAGTTATCCTAACGGGGGTGGGGTGGGGGGGGCGGGTAATTGTTTAATTCCCACTGCAAGGACACGTGGAAAAACCGGATGGACCGGAAGATTTCCAGACAAGGGGAAAGGTCTGTCTTGGGAGGCCACGCGGCTTTGGCTCATGGGTGAGTAATGTTAGTGCCGCAAGAGTGCCAGGGACTCTCTTGACATTATTGGTCACAAAAACCCCCTCCTGAGCCTGATGCACAGGGCAACTCACCACCATGGGTTGGAAGAACCCACCCCTACTTACATACCATACAATAGTTACCGAGCTCCTATTCTGTGCCGCACTCTTAGCGTTTTACAGGCACGACCATCCTTCATAATGCCCTTCTGAGCTGGCTGCTGTGATGCCCCCATTTTACAGATGAGGAAACTGAGTCCCTGGAAATAGAACTGGGAAAGGGGTGATGCTACATTGGTCACCAGGAAGCTCCTCTTGGCATTTTCCCATCAGGAAAGAGGAGGTGGGCACCGTTTGTACCCTGGCTGGCCTTAGGGCTGTGGCCTGTGGCCAAAGATTTGGGGACACGGTGCAATCTTGACTCCTTAGAGTCTAACCAGCTTCCAATCCTTCTGTCTTTCTTTGCTGCAGCTCAGGCACAACACACAGTTGCCAACCCAGGTGCCCGCAGGGCCCAGGTGGCACAGGGAGGACCAATGCAAATCACAGGCATGGGCCCCGCCCGTCTAAAGGCAGCCACTGCCCAGCTGGCAGCTGTCACACTGGAATGTGGGCCCGGCGTGGCCAGACCTTACTATTTCCGAGAGGAGCCAATAATCGTGATTTTTATGTGACATGCCCCATATTTTAATGTTGGCAAATAATTTAGAAACTAGTTCTTAAAAATATCATTTTGTGAAACACCCCTGAGGGCCAGATGTGACCCCCACCCTGCACCCCCAGCTCCAGAACAAAGCAGCAGCACACCCCGAATTATTATACAATTCTGTATTTAGCGACTCGTTTACAGAACGTGTTCCTTTTTTTTAAAATTTTAAACAAAGTTCATCGATCTCTCATAGAAACGGTTTTGTGTGGGTTTTTTTTTTCTTTTTTTTTTTAAACCGTTATAGGACGTGAACCTGACAAAGTTGTTCACGGGCCCGCCGGCTTGAAGTACAACAGGATTTCTGTGTTCAGGAGACGATACTAAGTGCTGCGTCAAATCCCATCACACCAAAGCCCAGCGTAGTTCTCTAGGGACGGCGTGTGCGCGGGCCTGGGTTCGACGCCGTGTTGGTTCCAGCAGTAAAAGGGATGTGTTCTCCCACGGTCGTCGCAACTGCAGCATGGCGGTGGCTAGAAGGAGATGTTTCGTTTGCTCCAGATTTGATTACTCTGAAAATTGGTCACTGTTTCCGTGTTAGAATATAAAAATACCTTCATCTGGATAAAAATGTGTACAGTGGAAAACTCTTCAATGCATAGCCTGGGTGTGGAGAAGGAGGTTTTCCTTCGGGGGTCGTGGTGGTGGTGAGTGTTCGCGAGGAGACTGCAGCCCGGGCCGGGAGCTCGACAGTCGGCATTTCTGGAACGGTCCTTATCTGTCCCCCTCTGGTTGCTGGGTTTTGCCCATGCGGTTTCGAAATGCTCGTTGGCCATCTCTCCTCCCGGCAGGGACTGGCCCCGACCCTGGTGACCTTCTCATCTTCATCCTGGGCAATCGCCCCGTCAGCCTCCCCACGGAGAGTTTTGGGAAAACGATAAAAACGAGGGAGCAAGAGTCCACAGCCAAGATGGCGGCTGTTCTGGAAAGCTCGATCGGCACTGGAGGAAGGGCTCCTCTGAGTTGGGGGTGAGCCCTGAGCCCCGGCAGGTCACGCGCGGGAGGGCGGACTTGGAGACTGAGCTGCAGCGGACGTGCCGCGACGATCTCGGCCTTTGGGGGCTCTGCGCGGGCTGCGAGTCGCAGATGCCTTCCAGAAACAGCGCCGGGCTCAGCTTGAGAGGGGTGAGAGGGCGAGCCGGGGTCTCTGGTCTGATGAACGTACTTTTTGGCGCTGGTTGCTAAGCTTCAGTGTCTGTGGCGTGAGCAACACCGTCACGTCTGGAGAACGTAAGGAGGGGAAGATGGTGGCCACCTTGCTCCGGAAAAACCCACGCTCATACCTGTAGGGAAACTCCCTGGGGCGTGGCCGTGATTCAGGCTGGGGAAAGGAGTGGCTCTGGCTCGAGCGCCACTCTCCAAGCACCTGCCCCCAGTGCTCAGCTTTTCCAAAGGATCTGGAAACTCGTCTACGGCCGGACAAGATGGATGTCCGACCTCCACGGCCCACGGGTTTCTGACTAGAGGGGGTGGAAGCAGTTTGTCATCATGTACCATGCTACATCTGGACGGTCGGGCCGCAGCCCACATCTCTACAACATTTACAACGGCGAGGGACGTTCTGTGTCATCAGGGTTGCGAAACAGACCAGCAGAATGAAACACATCCTCAACGGCATCGAGGTTTTCGTTTAGAGTCTTTCGGACTTTCTCTTTCCAGCACGGTCTCTGGAAGGGCAGCAGCCACGCGCTGTGTCTCACAGACAGAAGTGGGGAAAACCGCGGTTCAAAGGTTATCTAAATTTTGGTCAGTCTTATAGTGTTTTGTGATGGCTTTGAACAATTGTCTTCTTTTAATCTCATCTAGTGGCAAAAACGACACAACTTCAGTGTATACTTCGCAACAGTTGTGACAGCATCCTGATTTTATAACTCTCTGTAATATCAAAAGAGCATCAGCTGGAAATAAATTCCAAAGGATCCTTTATTAAAATATCTAAAAGAGGTCTATAAATATTTATTTATTTTTCTAAAAGAGTTCGGAGTGTTCAGGTGAAATGTGGCGGTATTTTGCTTCTGCCTCCTGCGGAAGGGTGAGGGTGGAGAAGCGGCAGATTCCTGGTGCTCCCTGGGGCAGGGGGTGCTGAAAAGAGGAGGCGACGGCATCGGACCCACCTGCTCACTCACAGCTTCGTAGGAGTACAACAAAAAACGTAAACGGCCTAACACTGCTGTCCACATTTTGATGGTTGAGCTCCTCCCTCCCTTACCCCGCCCTGTCTGGAGAGTGAGCGACAGAAGGCAGTCACCAGGGTATGTCCCTCGCCCCTTGCCCCCGCCTTCAGAACTCCCACTCCAGTGCCTCCTCCCGATTGGCAGCCCTCTCTAGTCGGTAGATGATGCTGTTCAGGTTGGCCATCTTCTCGTGCCGCCGCTGCAAGTTGGGGTTCACCTTAGCGCTGGGGTGCAGGGCCCCGGCTGTGTCAGCAGTGGGGCTGGCACTCGGCACTTTGGCAGGGGGGGCGCCAGGTGGGGACGGGGAGATGGGGGCTGAGGAGGAGGGCACGGGTGACACAGACATCATGAGGCCTGGCGAGGAGGCAGCCGAGGGTGAGTTCAGTGACACCTCCAGGCTGCAGCGTGAGGACTCCGAGGCTGACTTAAAACTTAGAGGGTCCGGGTGAAGCCGCTCCCGGGCCTCACTCTCCTGGGGGTGATACAGCGACGGGCAGTCTGGGGTGGTTCCGCCTGGAAGGAGGGGCCCGGGGGCCACTTCTGGGAGTCCGTCATCACTCTTAGGGTCAGGATGCTCCTCTTTGGGGGGACCTTGGCCTTTGTCCGGCTCCCCTAAGTCCTGGGGCTGGCCGCCCACCTCCTCCTCGGCGTCCTCCTCCGTCTGCTCCTGCTTGATCCTCACTTGGTCCTGGTCCTGCGCCGTCAGGGCTGTGCTGCTCTCCTCAGAGCGCTCCTGGAGCTCCAGCTCCTTCACGGTAGGCTTCTGGTCCTCAGCCTCAGAGTCGGGGCTCTGCGGGGTGGGGTCCGGGTGGGAGAGTCCTGGGGGCAGGATGCCAGGACCCCCACTTGGGTCGAGGTCTGGCTCGTCCTGGGTCCCCTCCACCAACATCTCCCGGCGCATCCGGGACCTGAGGCAGAGACGGCGGTGAGCCTGTGGCTGGACAGGGGACCCCGCTAGACCTAGACTCAATCACCACGAGCGGCATTTTGGCCCCACACACTGCCCTGGGGCTCACCAGGCGCTAAACCTCTAACCTGCACCATCTTACTAAGTCCTCTAGACAGCCCTACATGGTGGGTGCCATTATCATGCTCACTTCACAGGGGAGGAAACAAGGCTCAGAGATGTTAAGTGACTTGTCCCAGGTCACACAGCCAGTAACTAGCAGACTTGAACTCAGGGCTATTGGATTCCAAAGCTCATGGTCTAGACCTGTGCTATCCAGCACAGCAGCCACTGGCCACACGTGGCTCCTGAGCACTGGAAATGTGGCCAGTCCAAAAGGAGATGTGCTGCGAGGGCACAACGCACACCGGATCTTAGGCTCAATAAAAAAAAGTAAAAGATCGTGTTAATAATATTTTTATATTGATCACACGTTGAAGTGGTCATATTTGGATATATTGGGCTAAATAACATATACTAATATGACATCTGTTTTTTTTAATTTATTTTTTGATGTGGCTACTAAGAAATTTAAAATCACATGTGGCTTGTGTTATATTTTTAATGGACAGCACCATTCTAGAACATTTCTCAAAGTCAAACCCTCATTTATTTTGTGGCAACAACTCTCTGCTTCTTTCCTGGAGGGACTCTCAGACATCAGCCCAGATGGGGAAACAGAGGCATGGGGGCATGACCTGCCCAGGTTACTACAGCACAGAGGGGCAGAGCTGGGACCAGAGCCTGGGTACCCCAAATTCCCAGAACCCACTCCGTCTTAACTTCAATGGCCTCCCTGCTGTCAGAGGGAAACTCAGGCCTATAAGTTACATTTTAGAGCAAGATGAGCCAGGAATGGGTCTAACCCTGTTAATTATTTTCCTACAGCAAATGAGGTCCGGAGATTTGAAGTGACTTGTCCGAGGTCACAGAGCGACAGGGTCCTCCTCAGCACCTTCAATACTTAGCTCTCTGCCCGTTCGTGTTAATAATAAATTATATTTTATTAATCTGTCACACTAATTACGAATTACAGTTACAAACGTAATAATGGGTGCTTATCACGTGTCGGACCCTGGGCTAGACTCTTCACAGTTTAGTTCATTTATTTTTCGCAGTGGCCTCACGAGGGATGCTCGTCTGCTGTGCATTCGTAAAGGAGGCGGGGTTCAGAGAGGCGCAGCGACTGCCGTGGTCACAGCGCCAGCAAGTAGCGGAGCCGGGCTCTGCCCCCAGCAGTCTGGGTCATCCTCTCCTGCGCCTCCTGCCGCCCTGCTCAGGTGGGGTGGGGTCCTATCCCAGGATCCTGGGCCCGAAGGGATGCTGAGGGATCAGCTGGTCCACCCTCCTCGCTCAATCCTCAGTCCCTCCGCAAAGGTGGCCTTGCCCACCTCCAGGAGATTCCTGCATCCCCCTTATCCTCCTGCGGAAGGAAGAGCGGCTGGGACCATGGGGGCACCCTGTGTTTCCCCTGAGGTGGGATTTGAGTGGCTTTAGGATGGCTCAATGCCTGAAGGTCCATCGTTAGAACTTCCAAACTATAGATCAAGTATTATATAAATATGAGGCTAACAGTCATTCATACTTTAGAATAAATTAGTCTTTTTCAATTCCTGTGTCCCAAATCTAAAGCAGGGCCTCTCTGATAATTTTTCCTCAAAACATCCTGTTGTCCACCTTTGCTAGAGCTCACTGCAGTCTGTAATAATGGAGTAATACTAGTGATCCTCTTGTAGTTCATAAGCATCATGACCGGGTTTTCACGTGCATGTGCGAGATGTGCCTCCCTCAAACCTTGTTACGACGTCGGCACGTTGCCCGTCTGATGTGAAAAAAAAATAATACAGTAATATGAGTACCTGCTGGTCTGTAAGAAATGCTAAAGGCAGGGACTTTGTCTTGTTCTCTGTGGTGCCTGGTACAGAGGACATGCTCAAAAAACATTTACCAAGTGAAATGATATTTTCTGTAGTTGCAACTCTCGGAGAGTTGTTTCTTTTGAGAATGGAATTCTCTCTGCTCCTTGGTGCAAACTCCTATTCATCCTTTAAAACCCAACTCAAATGCCACCTCTTCTGTAAAGTCTTCCCCAGGCAGAATTCCCTTTTCCCTTGGCTCCTTGCTCCTTCCTGTTTTACAGCATCCATTAGGTTATAGTGAAACGATCTGGTTCGTGACTGTAAGCTCCTTAAGGGCAGGGCTGGTGGCTTCGAATCCCTGTATCGCCAGACCCTGGCTCACTGTGCATTCATCAGAAATGTCTGTTGAATGAACATGTTGGTTAATAATGGAGCGCTCAGTTCCTATGTGGAATTAGAGAGAAGATGTCCTCGTATCCCCCAGGGAGGGAAGGAGGTGAGAGGGCTTTAAGGACCCATGTCACTGGCTCTCTGGCAGGCTCTGTTCTGAGCCAGGCGGCCAAAATTATTTCATTTGGCCCATAATCAAGTGTTGTGGGATAGGTGTCAGGTGTCTTGTCTGTAAAATAAGGATGAGACTCGGGGAAGTAAAATTACTTGCCTGAGGCCACACAACTGAGTGGGACTTGAACTCGGGTCTGTGTGATGCCGACACCCAGGCTGGGGAGAAAGGAGATTCCGGGTATGCCGCCCACTGATCTCTTTCCTCCCTCTCCCTTGGGGATCAAGGGACCTTCTCTCTGCCCCCGGAATGGACGGGTGGACTCTCCTCTCTGGTACCACATGGGCAGCAGAGGTGTTTCCTGCTCAGGAAGCTGGGTGTGGGGGCACCTCAGAGATGGCCCCACGATTTCCCCCATCAAGCCTTGTGCACAGGGGTCTCCTCAGCCGGACCTCAGGGAGCCCCTCTGCAGTCTCTGCAGAACCAGCCCTGGGACTAAACGCCCAGAAAGCCCAGCCGACTCGGCCTGGCAAGTGGGGACAGCCATGGGGACAGGCAGCCACAGAGGCAGAATCACCCACTCCTTGAGGTGGGGGGAGCCCGGGGAGAAAGGGGGGTCCTCTGGCCTCGGGAGTGGCCTGAGGCTCAGTGGGCAGTTCCTCAGGCCTGTGCCCCAGACACCCTTCACTCCCTGTCCCTTCACAGAGGCAGACTCCGGGCAAGCTGGGCGAAATGATAATAGTAAAAGTCACAACAGCAGTAACATCGACACCCACCACGCACTACGTGCCAGGGAGTTCGCGTAAATGAGTGAGTTCCGAAAATCCTCTGGAAACTCTATGAAGCAGATCGCGTGATCGTCCCCATTTTATAGGTTAGAAGACTGAGGCTCAAGGGAGTGAAGTGACGTTCCCAGGGTCCCACAGCTGCAGGTGATGGGGCTGGGATTTGTCCCCGCCTGGCCTATGTTCTAACCCTACACACTCGTGTGCGACTCAGCCTCCCACCCCAGAGGCCGTGCGGGGCTCCCTCTGGGCCGCGGGGCGGGCAAGGGGGTCCAGCCGAGACTCCGCCCGCTCCCCAGAGGCGCCCCCGCGGTCCCACCTGTAGTTGTGGAACCAGTTGATGACGGTGTTGGTCTTGAGGTTGAGCTGGAAGGACAGCAGCTCGATGGTCTGCTGCGAGGGGTAGGGCTCCAGCTGGTAGGCCTTCCGCAGCGCCTCCTTCTCCTCGGGCGCCAGCACCACCCGCGGCTTCTTGATCTGCAGCAGGCTCAGGTCCTGCGGCTGCAGGCAGGGGCTGGGGCACTCGGAGCGGGTGGCCGGGGACTCGCTGTCCGAGCCGGTGCTGATGAGGCCGTAGCGGCGTTTCAGGTAGGCTGGGGCGGGGAGGCAGGGAGGGCTGAGTGGGCCACCGTCACCGCCACCAGTCCCAGCCAGTTCCACCCAGAGCCCTCCATGCCCCCAATCTTTGGGGTCCGCTCCTCCTGCTAATTTAAAAGACCCGTTAACTGCATGATGCACCTCGTCCCCCAAATCATTAAGATGTGAAAAAAGCCCACATCAGAATGAAAGAAGTTATTAGGGTCTCATGTAATCTCACAGCAATGCTCTGTGATAAATGCTATTGACTCTTATTTTCAGATGAAAAAGGAGGAGGCACAGAGAGGGGAAGTAACTTGCCCAAGGTCACACAGCCAGGGAGCAGCAGGCCAAGTTCTGAACTGCAGAGTTGTCCGATGACAGTGGCCCAACCATGGCCCAGCCCATGTGTTGCTCACAGTCTGGCTGCCCCTGAGTCCTCACATGTGCTACCTTCATGCCCCAGATGACAACTTAACTATTCCTATCTCCCAATTGGGCTCTGGGCTTTTTAAGATACCGGAATCCCTTATGCACACATGAGACTGGTTGGGCACACAGCAGGTGCTCAATGCTGGCTCATTTTATCAGGACATAAGGTAAGACGATGCAAGAAAATGCGATCTCCTTGCCCATCCCTACGAGGGAGGGTTCTTGTTTGCTGGGTCCGTTCCGTCCTTTGCTGTGTAGAATCTGTGTAGTGGGTGACGGGTGATCTACGGCGCAGGGGTAGTGGCAGAGGAGAGGGTGCACAGAGAGAGTCTGGGGAACATGCAGCTGGGGCTGGCAGAAGACTCTGGAGCTGCGGGGGTGTGGAAGATGTAGCGACTACTTTAATGGCTTTCAGTCAGAGTGTTCTTCGGGATTGAGTATGTCACGCGGTCCTACATCAGGCACGGCCTGGACCACTGGGGCCCTGGGTTTACTTGGGTTACAACTAGATGCGGTTCTAAGGGAGAATCTGAGGCCAGACCCAGAGTGCCTGGTGCTGGGGCCCAGCCCCCGCCCAAGTCTTACCTTTCTTCTCCAGCTTCTTCATGTCCCTCAGCTTCTCCACGTTATGGGGGTCATTGAGCCACAGCTGCATGCGGACGAAGGGCTCCCGCCCCTTCAGGCTCAGCTTGTGCCAGGGTTTGGGCCGCGACAGCAGGTCAGACACGGAGCCCTGAGTCAGGCCCAGGATGCTCTCCCCAAACAGCCGCTGACCTGGGGCGGGGGAGGAGCGCAACCTGTCACCCCAGGCTGGGCGGAGAGAGCTGCCCCCGAGAGACAAGGAACAGGCCAGAAACACAGGGGAGGCCCAGGGGCTCTCTCCGCTGAGAAGGGAAGGCCGGAGACACGGGGGAGCCCACAGCAGTGCGGGTCTGAAGGGCACGTGTCTGCCAAAGAGATTGTAGGGACGGGATTAGGCAGCAACCAACCAAAGTGTTTTTTTCAACTTAAGAGGCTCTTCACTCCTAAAAGATCTTTGAAATTGTCTGCAAACTTTATGCATACAAATTTGTGTCACCATGTTAGAGGATAATCTGACAGAGTCTATCAAAATTTTAAACGTGCAAAACCTCTGATCCTGCAGGTCCACTGCCCGGGGTTTATCCTAGAGCTACCCCTGCCCAGGGCACGGCGATGCATATGGGCACAATTTCAGGGGCAGCAGGAAACCGAAACAACCAAAATGCCCATCACTTGGGCAAACAACTGTGCTGCATCCATGGCCTGAAACACTTCACAACAGTGAAAAAGAATGTGGGCGATACAATAACTCTAATGAGGAAGGCAGTGTTCACTTTTCAAAAGCAAGCTGTGAGACAGTAGGTGTATGATTTCATCTACGTAGAAAAAAGAAGAGAGGAAACTAGGTGTATGCGTGTTCCTGTGTGTTTGGAAAGTGCCAAACGAACATGGAAAACTGGAATGTGACTGAGAAGTGGGGGGAGATTTATTTATTTATTTACTTTTAAACTTTTTTCTCCTCTACTATTTGGTATTTTTGGACAATGAATAGGTCATATGTTTAGAAGAGAAATTATAGTGGATAGTGTGGGGTTCACTCGCATCCCTGTGGGAGGGGGACGTAACCTGCATCCAGGACTCCGAGGAGTCTGTGACCCCAAAGGGGAAGAGCCCAGCACGTGTCTCTCGGCCACACCCCTGGAGGGCAGGGACATCGGCTCCGGGTGAGGACTGTGCTGAAGCCTCAGTGACTGGCGTTCTCTAAGTCCTTTTGGGAGGGAGTTTCGAGAGCTACAGGCTGAGTTCCAGGTCCGACCAGACCTGCATTCACCTTTTTGTCCCATCCCAGACCCGGGTCAGAGCCAGGGCTGACCGGCACCTCCGGGCTGCACCACGGCGTCCTGGGGTCTCACCGCAGGCGCTGTTTTCAAAGCACGTGGGAGCCACCGAGGTGGGAGGGGCACTTCTGATTCCCGCCACTCCGTACCTAGGTTGTTGTCTGTGAGGACCTCCTTGACCCTCTTGGTGATGGAGTACGTGTCCAGCTCGGGCGACATGGCCACGATCTCCTGGATGCCCCCTGTCGCCTGGCCGCCCGAGTACACCTTCCCGCCCAGCGAACGGCCCTCCGGCTGCTGGTTCTCCTTGCTGCTTTCCAGCGACAGGCTCAAGGGCTCCTGGGAGCTCTTCTCGGGCTCCGTGGGGCTGGGGGGTGGAGACGGTGAGGGTCTCGCTTCCGTGGGGCTGGCTGTGGGCCACAAGAGGAGGAGAAGGCGGTCACTGCCACCTGGCGTGGACACACGTGGTTTGGGAAGGCCTGTCACAGCCAAGTCGGGGCCACGTGCTCAGCACATCTGCACCTCCTGAGGCGTCGGTCACCCACCGGTGGGAGCTGAGCCTCCTGACAAACTGGCCAGGGCAGGGGACGTGCCTCGCGGGGTGCCCTGACGGGCAGGAGAGCATGGTGAGGGTGGTCTAGGAGCCCCCAGCACTGGCTGCTTCTAATCCCGGCAAATTAGAAAAAGGTGCCATGTTCTTGAGGCATTTGCCTGCCACCTGCTGGAAATTTGTTAAAATAAACACAAAAACGTACGCTGGCTAGAAGAGAAGGGAGCAGAGGCTTTGCTTCCGGAAGGGACATGAGGAGCCCCCAGTGTGTTCTTTCTGGCGAGCGGATCACTCTGACCAGGCCACTCCCACCTGCACAGAAACGCCTGCCTCCTCGCCCTGCTATTAAGGCTCTGGACTCCTGTCCCTGCCCACACCACGGGACTGGAGCCATGCGGAGTCCCCCTAACACACAGCCCAGGATCTTCTAAGCCCCCGTGTCCTTGTTCTGGCTGGTCTGCCACCTTGAAGGCCTTCCTTCCAACCTTGAACTCCTACGTATCCTTCAAGACCCAGTCCCAGTATCTCTCCCCTGAGGGGCACTTTGGGGTTAACAGCACCTTGACACATTGTCACACTTCACGGTAATTCCTTGCTTGGACCAGATTTCTTTCTTACCAGATGACAAGAACGACAAGGATGATGACAATGATGACAATAAAGCTTCCTTTTATTAAGCACTTAGTACACGCCCAGTGGAGTGTTGTGTGTTTATGCCTGTGGTCTCAAGTGAGCCTTATAACACCTCTAAGAGGTAAGTGCTATCATCCCATTTTATAGATGATAAAACCAAGGCTAAGAGAGGCTAGGCAACATGTCTAAGGTCACACAGCAACTAGTGGCAAAGCCAAGACTTGAACTCAGGTCTGTTTACACCCAACACTGTCCTTTCATCCACCAACCATGAGCCCCTCAAAGGCAAGGATCATGTGTTAGTCACCGGGGCCTGGCGAGGCAGGAAGTGCTAGACAGATTCCTGTCAAGTGAGCACATTTCAGCCAGCACCCGAGTACCCCTGAAAGGTCCACGGTGAAGCCCTGAAGTTCTGAGTACTAGCATCGCAACCCGTGTGACTGCAGCCCGCATCTGGGGTCCCAGAACTCTGCAGTCCCCTCCCCACTCCCTGCCCCAACTGGGCTGATCCTCCCATGTAGGTGGCATCTGTGTGACGCTGGAGCTGACATGGACATGTCCCACCCTCAGAGGTGCAGAGCTGGCGGCCTTGGGCCAGCCTGGGAAAGTGAGGCTGCTTCGTGCGTCTCGGAGTCGAGGGTCTTTGAAGGCGCCTGCTTGTGGTGAACCGTCCACACCCACTGCCCACCTGCAGGGCCCAGTTCCCCAGCAACTCGGAAACGCCTCTGTCCCAGGCAAACCCGATGGGCGGCCAGGCAGAGAGAGGACAGAGACAGAGACAGAGCGAGCAGGGGGACACAGACAGTGAGAGAGGCGGAGAGTGACAGACAGACAGGGAAGGAGAGAGGGGTGGGACGAAGAAGCAGAGAGAGATGGGGGGAAGGCAAAGGGAGGGGCTTCCTCAACTGCTGGAGGATTCCCGGAAGGCTCAGGAGGAAGCGCCTGGAACACCAACGCCAGCCTCTGTGGTGGGAATGAAACTGGCCACGTGCTACCACCCGGACAAGCCCTCAAACACGTTCAACGAAAGCAGCCAGACACAAAAGGCCATGTCTTGGCGATTCCATTTGCGTGACATGCGCAGAGTAAGTAAACGCACAGGGACGGAAGGGGGTTCGGAAGCTGCCAGGGCCGTGGCGAGGAGGACGGGACGTGACTGCTTAAGGGGCAGGGGGTTGCTTTCTGGGGTGGGCGAGCTATTCTGGAATCAGACAGAGGTGACGGCTGCACAGTATTGTGCATGTAATAAATGCCACTGAATTGTACACTCTAAAAATGGCTAAAAAGCTAAGTTTCATGTTAGGTGAATTTTCCCGCCATAATGAAATTACTTAGTTCAAATACGACACAAGAAAGAAGGATGCGAACCCTTTCCCAGCCAGGCACTCACCCTGGGCGGCGCTGGGCTGCTGCCCCACGGCCTGGCCCAGCTGGTCCGACAGCCACAGCTGCATGCGGATGAAGGGCTCGCGCCCCTTCTGCGTCAGCTTGCTCCACGGCTTCGGCCGGGACAGCATGTCGCTCACGCTGCCCTGCGACAGGCCCAGCACCTGCGGACAGGCGGGGCAGGCCGGGTAGGTGAGCAGGCCCCTGGCGCCCTGGGCTGGTCCTCCCTGCCCTCCCTGGGGGCCACACTGCCTTCGTCCGTCCCTCATACCCCAAGCGCCTGTGTGTGTCTGTGCTGTGTCCACACGCCCGGTGGCCTTCCTGGCATCCAGAGTTGTAAAAATCCTTCCTAGCCTTTAAGTCCTCTTAAGTGCTCCCTCCTCCAGGAAGCCTTCCATGCCTCCCACTTAAGTCACTTCCTTCTCTGAGTGTTCCCCACCCCTTGCCCGTTCCCCTGCTAAGGGTGGAGGTGACAGTGAAAACTGGCACTGCAGTGGCACCAACCCATCATGGCATGCTGGGGACACTGGCTGCGCTGAGCCTTGACTGTCTACTGGCTGGATGGTGGGAGGAGCAGAGGGCCCTGGAGGACGCGGCAAGTGGCTGTTCACTTTTAACAACCACAGGACTGAATGCCACCTTGCCATGGCCCTCCTTCCCGCGGGGCCAGGGGACAGCCAGACACAGGAGAAAGGGCCTGGCTTCCTGGACGCGCGCCCCTGCCTGGGCTGGGATCCTGCGTCCCGTCCCGCGCACGTCTCCTTGCGGAGGCTGCCCGCGCCCGCGCCCGCCTTCACCTTCTCCCCGAAGATGCGCTGGCAGATGCCGTTCTTGGCCAGCTTCTCCTTGACCTGGCGGGTCAGCTCCAGCGTGTCCACCTCGCGGTACATGTACAGCTCGTACTGCTCGGGCGTCAGGGGCGGCACGGTGGGCTTCAGGGTGCGCGGCACGTAGGCCGGGTAGTAGGCCAGCCGCGCGCCCGCCTCGGGGACGCCGCCCTCGGCCTTGGGCTCGCCCGCCCTGGGGGGCTCCTCCTCGGCCCCCGCCGCCTCGTCCTCGGGGGCCGCCGGGGCGTCGTCCCCGCGGGGCCAGGCGCGCCCGTTGGGCTGGCCGGAGTAGCCGGAGGAGGAGGAGGACAGCGAGGGCGACACGGAGGCGTAGGGGCGGCTGAGCAGGCCGCGGTCCGAGGCCCAGTGGTGGTCGAAGTAGCCGGCGTCGCCGATCTCGGACTTGACTTTGCGGATGATGCTCTGCACGAAGGCGGCCGGGGACAGGACGGTGAGGGGCGTCTGCGTAGCGCCGCTGCCCGCGCCGTCCTCCTGCTTGACGTGGGCCGGGGCCCCGTTCTGGCTCCCGGCCGCCAGTGAGGGCCGCTCCGGGGGCGAGGGAGGCACCGAGCGGCCGCGGGGACCCGCCTCCATCTCCAGCAGGGCCTGCTGCTGCGCTTGCATCTCGCGGCGCGCTTGCTCCAGAATGTTCTTGATGGCATCTTCCGAGGTGCTGGCGCAGGCTGTGCCGTTGGTGATGCCCAGTGGGGCCGACAAGTTCTTGGGCTCACCTGCGGGGAGGATGACAGGCCATCGTCAGGGCTCGACTTGAGGGACACAGATGTTCACAGCATCAGTATTTATACAAGCAAAACGCTGAGGCAACCTCTGTGTCCAACGGCTGGGGATTGGTCAAGTGAATCATGAGGCACAGTGTGGCAGAATACTAGGCAGTCACCAGAAGTCAGGTGCAGTGGGATTTTTAGCATACGCGGAGAACATGCGCATGGGGACAATGTACGGCAAAAACACACGTGCCTTCTCCACACGCTGCGATCCACCGTGCAGACGTTCACACACGGCGCGGGCACTACGGCACACGAAAGAGGCTTCTCCACTACTCTAATAGCAGAACCACGGCGTGGACCCGAATCTCAGGGACAGGAAAATGGATAATAAACAGTGCTACGGCCACACAGTGGAACTGAAAAAGACGTCCTCACCCAAAACCATACATGCACCTTTTTTTCCTTAGAGACGGGATCTCACTATGCTGCCCAGGCTGGAGTGCAGTGGCTATTCATAGGCATGATCACAGCATACTGTAGCCTTGAACTCCTGGGCTCAAGAGATCCCCTTGCTTCAGCCTCCTGAGTAGCTGGGATGAAGGCATGTGCCACCGCGCCCTTTGCACGAATCTTTTTTTAAAAATTTCAACAGATTTAGGGAGTACAAGTGGTTTTTTGTTACATGGATGAATTGCATGGTATGTAGAGTGGTGAAGTCAGGACTTTTAGTGTCCCTGTCACCGTCACCGGAATAGTATACATTGTACGTGATAGGTAATTTCTGATCCCCCATCCCCCACCTCTTTGCATGACTCTTAATAACATATTATGAAAAATGCAAGTCCCAGAAGATGACACGCAGCATAACATATTTGCTTTTCTTTTTTTCTTTTTTTTAAGATGGGGTCTTGCTGTGTCGCTAGAGTGCAGTGGCGTCATCAAAGCTCACTGTAACCTCAAACTTCTGGCTCAAGCCATCCTCCTGCCTCAGCCAATGTGTTTTCTTATAAAGCTCCAAAGCAAAAACAAAACAAAACAGAAAACCCCAATATGTGATTTAGTGAAAAATCTTTTTTACAAATGGCAAGCACAAATGGAAAATAGAACAAAAATAAATAAATAAATAAATTAATTAATTAGACAGAGAGACAGAGTCTTGCCTGGGGTAGAGTGCTGCGGGGTCAGCCTAGCTCACAGCAACCTCAAACTCCTGGGCTCAAGCGATCCTCCTGCCTCAGCCTCCTGAGTAGCTGGGACTACAGGCACGCGCCACCATGCCCGGCTAATTTTTTCTATTTTTAGTTGTCCGGCTAATTTCTTTCTATTTTTAGTAGAGACGGGGTCTTGCTCTTGCTCAGGCTGGTTTCGAACTCCTGACCTCAAGCATGCTCCCATCTCGGCCTCCCAGAGTGCTAGGATTACAGGCGTGAGCCACCACACCAGGCCTAGAACAAAAATTTAGGATGAAAGCTATCTCTGGGAGAGGAGGCAGGGGTGGATGGGGGAGAGAAATGCCAGAAGATCTAAGTTATTAGGAATGTTCTAAATCTTGGGTTGGGCAATAGGTTCCCAGAGGTTCATTCTGTTATGTAAATGAATGAATGAATACATAAATACACACACGGGAGAAGGCAGTGCAGGGAACAACCATACAGTGTGTCGTGAACCAAGGATAGCTTGGTCAGTGCCCTGGGGAATGACAATTAATTAGTAAATGAAAAGGCGCGTCCCCCTGCCCTCTGAGTGGCCTCCCTTGTGCTGAGGTTTCCCCGGCCACGGCCACGGACCAAGCCAGATCAACATAACCCTTTCCCCGTATCTCTGTGTGTAGTCTCCATCCTGGCAGGCCCTCGCTGACCCATTCAGAATAATTTGTATTGTTTTTCCAATTAGAAGAGCAATACAGCCAGGCGCAGTGGCTTGAGCCTATAGTCCCGGCTACTCAGGAAGCTGACGTGGGAGGATCGCTCGAGCCCAGGAGTTTGAAGCTGCAGTGAGCTATGATCGCACCACTGTACTCCAGCCTAGGTGACAGAGCGAGACCCTGTCTTTAAAAAAAAAACCTTTTGTTATGTGAATTTTACCTCAATTAAAAAAAAAAGTCCTACTTGCCTATTGTGGGGTGCACAAAAAAACACAGAAAGTTCAGATGAAAATAAAAATTCCCCTAATCTCTCTCTCCCAGAGGCAACCACACGAAACACTCTCACGTATTTCCTTCCGGTCTGTTTTCCACGCTGCATGCAGAGCACGGTGACCTGCGGAAGCGCAGCCTGGTTTGTCACACTCAGTATTCACGTGAGCATTTTCCCATCACTAAGAGTTCTTTCATCTCTAATGGCCGACGGCAAATCCCCCACTGCTGGTCACTTACGTTCTTTCTGGTTTGTCACTGTTGTGAACGACAGTACAGCAATAGCTCGTTCATAGATCTCTGTCCTCATTCTGGACATTTCCTTTAATCCCAGAAGCAGAGCTCCCGAGCCACAGTCAGCCCCATTCACTCCCTCCCCGGGTTTCCTGGCGGGCCTTCTGCTTGGCGCGCGCTTTGTGGGGGCCGCGGGGTGGTAATATCGCTACTTTTACTCCTGAACGCTTCACAGACCCTGAGTGCAAACCCGCCGGCTCGGCCACTTGTGGCAAATGTTTTCCTCTGCTGTGACGGTGCCTTATGCGTTTCCCTGCTGCCTGTTTGTGACCCGCCCCCGCCCCCCCTGGAAAGCACTGCACGAGGGGTGGTGGGGGGTCAGGAGACCTGTGTTTTCTTTCTGTCTCTGCGTAACGGTGAACTCACGTCTTCCCTCTCTGGCCTGTTTTCCTGTCAGTTTGGTGGGAGAGTTAGACTAGATTGTTTCTCATGGTTCTTTTCACTCCACTATCATGTCTCACCCACATCTGTGACCTATGTCTAGCATACAGTAGGCGTTTAATAGATGTTTAGCGCATGATTGTATCTCTGTCTTGCATCTCTCTTGCACTGGGCCTGACCAAGAAGGAAGAAACTACACTGTAGGGGCTCAGGGGATTACGTACGTGGGGCAGTGTAGGCTTCCCGCAGCTTAAGTCCCTTGTCCCCCGCCCCTCCCAGGCACCAGGCAGGAGGGAGGGCCACTGGGAAAGGAGGCAGCTCCCAGCAGCAAGCGGAGGTAGCTCAGGAAATGGGACACCTGCTCTGAGCAGCCACCAGGGGGCAGCAGACACTGCGAGGCGGAGCGGGAGCGCTGAACCAGCATCCCTGTTCTAAGCCGGCCACGGACAGCTCGGAGCTGCATTGTGCTGGGTTTGAGGATGCAACTCGGCCCCTGGCTGCAAGAAGCCCAGGACCAGTGGCAGGGACAGCCGCACCAGCAGAGTCCTTTGTAACGGCACAGAGAGCAACAAGAGATGTAATAATAATAATAATATTTGCTGTAATGACGCTGTTCTTTCAGGAGCACCTTCTATGTGCCTTGCCAGGCCTGATTTCATCCGATTCCCACACAACCTTTACAGTGCTAGCGCTGTTCCCATTTTAAAGATGAGGATGTGAAGGCACAGCAACGCTAAGTAACTTGCCCAAGGTCACACGGCTAACAGACAGCAGACCAGGACGTGCAGCCGGTCTGGCTCCATGGCACTGAGCGTGTAGCTAGCCGTGGCGGGGACCTGGGAGGGGCAGCATCTGATCTGTCTGGATGGAGGCGGGGGCTCCCTACAGGAGGTGACTTCTGAGTTGAGTCGTAATGTCCAAGCAGGAGTTGGCCGGGTGAAAGGTGTCTGGGCAAGGATGGTGTCAGAGGCGCAGGGAACGGTCGCGGAGGCTGGGCCTGACTGTCAACAGTAAGGGGAGGGGTGCGGAGGGCCAGGAGGGGGCTGGGAACATGGCCTGGAGGTGTTGATGTTAAGTTGGGATTTTATCTTGAGGGCAGTGGGGAGCCGCAGCAGGACTCTGAGCAGCGTCGTGACCACGTGTATGCATTCTAGAAACATCGCTCCTGCCTCTGGAGGTGCTGACCTTCTTGGAATGCCCTCTGAGTAGACAAAGGTAGAGGAAGCCTCACCTCCTGCTCGGGGCGGGCGCTGGTGCCCTGCCACCTTGCTGGCCACAGCCATACTCACCCCCCTTCTGTGACTCGATCTCCTTCTTGGCCTGCTCCAAGATGCTCTTGATGGCGTCGTCCGATCCAGTCTCCGGGGTGCGGATCCTCGGGGTGATACTGCCTGGGGGAGGCAAAAAGGCATCTGTCTCAGGATCCGCAAGCTGGGGGCCTGTCCCTGAGCTGGGTGGGGTGGGGGCTGTTCCCCTCCTCCCTGAGGGGCACCAGGGCCAAGAGAGTGAGGGTCAGACCGTCAGCGAGTGTGGCAGGGCCACTGCTGTCTGTGTGACAAACTGTGGACCTACGAGGGATGCTGGCTTGGAATAATAAGGAAATGATGATGATGATGACAATGACAATGACCACCACGACTAACAGTTCTCAAGCAGTTACCATGTGCCGGGTGCTCTGGTCAGTGCTTTGTACCCACTTAATCCTCATGGCACCGCCAGGCGGCTGACAGAGGGGGAACTGAGGCACAGGGCAGCTGGAGTGGGTTGTCTGAGGTCACCCAGTGGGTGAGTGGCAGAGCTGGGGTTCAAAGTCAGGTGTTGGTGCGGTCGAAGCCAGGACCCTTCACACCGATTACCCTAAAAGTCAGGTCTGGCCAGGCTGGCGGTGGCCTGGGCCATCTCACAAACGGGCAGGCTGAAGCTTGCAGGTCTTTTCCCACCATCACCAGCCCTGGCTGCCCAGGTGGGCTGGGTGGGGAGGCAGGGCAGCTGCAGGCCCCGGGAAGGAGGGGGCAAGGATGTATTTCCTTCTTTTATAGAGGGGGAAACTGAGGCACAGAGAAGCAAGGCCACTTGTCTCAGGTCACACAGCTGGGTGGCAATGGAGCTGGACTCTGAACCCAGAGCTCGGGCCCTGGACCTGGCCATGACGGCTGGGCCTGAGTCCCCAGGTGGGGACGGGCCCTCAGCCCCCTCTCACCTCGCTGCCGCACCTGGATGGTCCTCAGAGCCAGCACGTTCTGCTCATCTGACAGGAACTGCTTCATCTTGATGAAGGGCTCCTTGCCCTTCACCGTGAGCTTGCGCCAGGGCTTGGGCCGCGCCAGGATCTCGCTGACCGAGCCCTGCGACAGCCCCAGCACGTAGTGGCCAAACACCCGCTGCCCGATGTTGTGTTTGAGCAGCTGCTCCTTCACCTGGAAGGCGATCTCCGCCGTGTCCAGCTGCTCTTCCTCCGTCCCGGCCCCGGCCGTGCTGCCCCCACCACTGTCTGCAGGTTCGGGGCCCCCAGGTGGCTCGGGGCCAGGGGCTGGGGTGGTGGGGGCCGTGGGGGGCTTGGCGCCATAGAAGGCAGGAGGGAATGCCAGCAGGCCGCCCGCCTCTCCCTTGAAGGTGGCCGGGGGCATCATCGGTCTCTCCCCTGGGGCCAGGCCAGGGAAAGGGGACAGCGAGAAAGTCCGAGGGCCGTCGGGCCCCAGGCCAGGGCCCAGCAGGGGCTGCCCAGGGCTGAGGGACAGGGGGTCCTCGGGCCCCGGGGGAGGTGGGAGCTGCTGCGGGGAGGGGTAGGACTGCTCCGTGCTCAGCGAGTCCTTGATGGAATCGTCCTCTGAAGGGTCCTCCTCTAGAACATAGAGAGACAGACAGACGGACAGTGGAAAGAGAGACAGAGATAAAGAGAAATGAGAAAGACAGAGATGGGAAAACAGAGAATTTGAGAGATACAGAGGGACACACACGTAGAGACAGAAACTCAGAGACAGGGAGGAGGAAGAGGAGGAGAGACAGGGAGGAGGGGTGGGGAGAAGTGCCATCATGGGCTGTTTCTGCCCCCACGACCCCCTCAGTTCTCGAGCCCCAGACTTCCAGGCCCGTCCCAGTGCCGGTTCTGGGGGCCCGTCCTACGGTCAAGGGCCTTGCCTGAGCACCTGCCGGGGGCCTGGCACCTGCCCCGCGAGGCTCTCATTGCTGACTCCAGTGATGTGGGCCCCACGGTCACCCCCAGCGTGTGGAGGAGGAAACAGAGGCAGCATGGTTTTGCCCGGGGTCACAAGGCTAAAAGGTCACGGAGCTGCTGTGCATGAAGAGGGGTGAGGGGCTGAGAAGGTGATGTGGGGAGATAAGCCACGTCTGCTGGCTGTTCCCGGCAGTCGGCTGTGGGGTGTGAGGTGGATGCCCCGCGTCCCCCTCTGGCCTCTTCAGTAAAGCCCCCACTGCTCAGGGAGGCGGAGGGTGAGCGGGGCCCTTTGGGGAGCCCGAGTGAGCTGTGCGATCTAGAGTGTGGGTGTGGAGGGGACACCCTGCGGGGCAGGCATCCAGCAGGTGCTCAATCGTCGTGCACCCACTTGCCCTATGGCTCCCCTGCCCACGTGGAAGGTGGTGGTCCTTGGGCACGAGCAGGCCAGAGACCCACGGCAGCCCCCGCCCCGGCCCCTCAGCCCGAGAGCGTCCCTCCTCCCCTACCAGGGCTGGCCAAGAGACCGGGCTTTTCCAGGAGGAATTTCTGTGCGGGGAAGAAGGCCTCCTTCGCCACGAGCAGCGAGTCGTCGGGCTTGGCCATGCACTGAGGAGACAAGACGCAGGGCTGAGAGCGCGCGGCAGGCGGAAGGCTCTCCGGGCAGCCCGCCCCGCGGGGACGGAGGCGGGACACTCACCTGGGGGAGGCTGCAGGTGCTGGAAGCCAGCTTCATGGCCTTCAGGATGCTGCCGGAGAAAGCGGGGCAGGTCTGAGCTCAGCCGGGTCCCCTGGGCTGGAGGAAAGGCCTTGCCAGAGCCACTGACCTGCCCCCTTCCCAAACTCGGAACAAATGTCCCCCTTCCCCTGGACCCCACCTCACTTGCTGCAACAGCAGGCCGGAAGCAACAGGCTCCGTAACAAGGTGCGACGTCACCTGGAGGGTGCTGCCTGTACTGACCCCAGTCTGGCCGGCTCGAGCTTATGTGTGCGATGAATCACCCCCAAGTTACCACACCCACAATAAGGCGGCTACCTCTACCTCGTACCTCACCTATAGGCGGCTCTTGATGAAAAAGGACTGAGGACAGTTACAGTTTTCAAGACAGGTTCTTGCTCTGTCGCCCAGGCTGGAGTGCAGCGGCCCAATCATAGCTCACTGCAGCCTTGGACTCCTGGGCTCAAGCGATCCTCCTGCCTCAGCCTCCTGAGTACCTGGGACTATAGGTGCCCACCAGGCCCAGCTAGTTTTTAAAACTTTTATGTCGAGACAGTCTCATTATGCTGCCCAGGCAGATCTCGAATTCCTGGTCTCGAGCGATCCTCCTGCCTTGGCCTCCCAAAGTGCTGGGATCACAGGCGTCAGCCACCGTGCCCTGCCCTAAATTTTGATACCCAAGGTGTCAGTGGAGAGGAGACAAGAGTGGGGTCTGGCGGGAGGGAGGAAGATGATAAACTCTGCCAGAGCTCTCCTGCTGCCTTTCCTGATGCTACCGGCCAGAGAAGAGTGTGGGGGGTCTGTAGAGCCCCACTCCGCATAGTACCTCAGCTCTGTTTTAATTTCTTCATAGTCAGACTGTGCCTGGAGCTTCTCTTCCAGCTTCTAGAAGAGCAAAGAAAGATGGTGAGGCTGGTCTATGTGCTCAGAGGACCAGCGGGGCTATCCTTCTGCTCGGGGACGCCCACCTGTCTACTGCCTGTCCATCTCCTCCCCCAAGACCCACCTCTATGGCCTCACACTTGGCCGTGAGCTGCCGCTCCAGGTCCGCGATCTGGTTGGCGGAGGTCTCCTCCAGCTCCTGCAGAGAGTTCTGGAGGTGCTGCACATCCTTCAGCAGCCGCAGGATCTCCCTGTCCTTGGAGGCCAGCGCTGCCTCCAGCCGAGGGCTGGAGCACAGCGTGAAGTTCACCTTATCCTGGGGGCAAAGAGGGGCTCTGAGGGGATGAGAGGCATGGTGCAGGTGTCCATGGGGCGTGTCTCCCTGCCCCTGAATCCCAAGCAGAACGAGAATTTGTTTGTCCAGATGCTGGTACGGGGTGTGTTCACATTCAAATTTCAGTGTGCTGCTCTTACGACGTGTACCTTTTTCCTTATGTTTGTTACACTCTCGATTAAAATGCTTATCAAAAAAGACCAACAAGAACAGAAGGAAGTAGTTAGCTGGGTGGTGGGGATTGGGATTTTGCAGCAGAGGAAACAGCACACAAAAAAGTCTGGGTTTCTAAAGCAAGTCCAGCTCCTGCTCCTGACCCAGGGGACATCCACATTCTAGGCAACGAGGGACACACAGGACCCTCAGGGTTGCACTTGAGACTGTGCAGCCACAGGCCACAATATGGGTGGTTCCTTCCTCCTCCTCATTTGCCAACAGCCCCAAGACCCACAGCTACTGCTGGTTTTAAGAAATGACCCCTGTATCCTGGATGAAGACGGACAAATTGCTGTTTGACGGACTTGAAGTCAGGCTGGTCTCAGGCTCAGTTACAAATAAATCTAAGCAGCATTAAAAAAAACAAAACAACAATAACACAAAAAACAACCCACTACTACCAACCCCAGCTTTCTTCCATGGAGATAAATGCCAATTAAAACAGGAAGCGGATGCCATTAATACATTAAATTAATTAGCATCGAGTGCCACTGTTGTGTTCAGAAATGTACATCCCCCCCAAACCAGCAAAGTTCCCTCGGCTGATTAGCACAGGCATTTGCCGGGTTCCACGGGGGTTAATTAAGAACCACTGGCGAATTCCTCTCGGAGGCGTCCTCATGAGCTCTCCTGCCCTCACTCTCTCTCCTCACATCCTTCTCTCTTGTGTTCAGTCTCTCTGGGTTGTGTAATCACCCAGGCACATGGACACACACATACGCTGTCTCCTGGGACACAGACACAGGCTGACACACAGGACACACCTACGGTCACAACACACACTGACCCTTATGCCTTCCCGAATACTTATGCTGACACGCACACACACAGAAATACACAGGCATCAAGGAGTCACACTCACATGAGCATGTCACCAAGAAACACACAGATGTGTGTATGCTCAAAGAGGCCACATGCTCTCATGGGCAAAAACACCCCTGACACACAAAAAACATAGTATTACTAATAATAGTAGTATCAAGTATTTACTGAGCATATACTATGACCCAAGCACCATTTCAGATACTTTCCGTGTAATCCTTTCAATAGCCCTACAAGGTAGGTGTTACTTGTACAGATGAGGAAACCGAGGCACAGTCAGATTAGGGATACGGTCACTTGCCCAAAGGTCACGAGTAGACACACGCATGTGCAGTAACACATGTTTGTAGAGATGCATTCCAATGTTCAAACAGAAGGAGTGAGCTGGACACCCGGGCATGTGTATCAGGGCGTCAGGTGGAGTGAAAGTTGTGTTGGCCAATTCAGATTCACGGGTGTAGACTGCAAACTGCCCCGGAGCAGACCTATTACTACATAAGCAATCATGACTCTAATCCCTTCGTATGCAGAGATCTGAAAGAACTCAGGCCAAGTTACACAAGGACCCACGGCTTTCTGGGAGAGCTGGGATGGAGACGGCTAACATACAACAGAAGGCTAGACTGGGGTGGCCCTGATGAAAATCCCTCGGCAGGAAATAACACCAGGACCCCAAAGGGACATGAACCAGGAGGAAGGAGAGATGACCTGATTAACTAGGCTTAACACAGGAACCTCAGGGTTGATGACTGAAAATTGGCTCTTCATAGCATGTGGCTGGGGTGGGAAACTCCCCTGGAAGCACCCTGGCGTGCTTTGGGAACCAATGGCTGAGCATGAGTGTTAAACTGCAGACCTTGGGATGTGGCCCCACTGCAGTCCTGGCAGGGATTAAAGACCAGCAAGGGCATCGCTAAACCAAGCTGCGCAAGACCAGTGTTCAACAGCGCCACCTGATGGTAGTCGCCTGACCTGCACCACTACTGCAGTGCTCAAACTCTTCATGATTTCTTTGCTGGGGCATCTGGCAACAGGAATGAAGTTCCTGGCATCCGTCAACAACTAGGGGTGAGGGAGGCCTCCAGAGGAAGAGACTAGGCTTCCTGTCAATCAAAGGTATATGGAAACTTAAGCCTGAAAGGTTTTAAAGGAGTGTGGCTGTGTTTTTACCCTCAGCTGGTGAAGCAGTCCACAGTCATGTTTAACAACACAACTGACCTCACAACGAAGACACTGTGTCTGCTGTATGCCCACAGAGACCCACACACATTCACACTCCCAATTTCACGCAGCCACACATGATCAGCGACAAAATTGTCACTCACCTGTTCCTACCCCCAAACACAGTCTTGCCCAGTCTTTCCCTCTGCCCCCTCCCCTCCTCAACCCCATCCTTACCCCACTGGGCCCCTGGGGGGAGCAGCAAGCCAGGCGGATGGAGCTGTTGACAGAGGCCAGCTGTTCCCGAAGACTCTCCACCTCCCGCTGGGCAGCCTCAGCTCGCTGGGGAAGAGAAGGGGTGAGTGTGGTCAGGAGGTGAGCGTGGCCCTGTGGGGGCCCCACCCTGCCCAGGCAGGGGCTGGGGTGGCGGGTCTCCAAGGGCCTGGAGTTCTGGTCCTGGAGCTACGAAGGCCAGTCACAGAGCTGTGGGCTGGAAAAAAGAAACAGCAGGCCCTGTGCCTGTGTCGCTCCTGAGAAGTGATGGGAAGAAACACCTCCCCTCCACGAGGTTCTGGGTTCCCCTGGGGTGCTTGGAACCCCAATAGCAGTCAGAACATTTCCCACGTGGTGGGACTGGCAAGTTTCCACACATTTCTAGGCTCCTCTGCCTGCCGTGTAAGCTTTAGGCCTGGCTAGCCAGAAGGTAAGAATTTAGCCGGGCAGGTGGCTCATGCCTATAATCCCAGCACTTTGGGAGGCTGGGGTGGGAGGACTGCTTGAGGCCGGGAGCTTGAGACCAGCCTGGGCAACAGAGAGAGACCCCGTCTCTAACAGGGAAAAAAAGGAAAGAAAAAAAAGAAGTCAAGAATCTGTACCAGCTCTCGCGCCACCTGCTATGGACTGAGTCCAAGAACGGGCACGTGCAGAGGTGGCTTCCCAGCCCGTGGGCTGTTGCAGGTCGCTGGGCAAGTCACTTCCCCTCCCTCAGTCTCAGTTTCCCTTTTGTGAAATGGGGGCAATGAAAACACCTATTGCAGAGGGGTTCTGAGTGGTTAAAATCAGAATGTGGCCGTTTACTAAGCTGGGTCTATGGCAGATCTTAACTCTTCAAACATTTCTAAGAAAAATGCCTGGAATTAAGCCACTCAGATGTTAACAACGTAGCCGTCTGGCTTTGGAGAGCAATCTAGGCTGAAATCCCTATTTTGCCACTTTCTGGTTACGTGACCTTGGGCAAGAGACTTCACCTCTCTAGCCTCAGTTTCCCTCTTTGTAAAGTGGGGATTATGAAAGTAACTCTCCCTGTAATTCCAGCGCTGTGGGAGGCCAAGGTGGGAGGATCGCTTGAGGCCAGGACTTCAAGATCAGCCTGGTAAACACAGCAAGATCTCACTTCTATCAAAAATTAAAAAACTAGCTGGGCATGGTGGTGCATGCCTGTAGTCTCAGCTACTCAGGAGGCTGAGGCAGGAGGATTGCTTGAGCCCAGGAGTTCAAAGCTGCAGTGAGCTGTAACACCACTGCATGCCAGCCTGGGAAACAGAGTGAGACCCTGTCTCTTAAAAAAATAAAAACAACTATCTCATAGGGTTGTTTTGAAAATTAAGTGATTTGGCAAAATGCAACTTGCTGGATATCTTAGCTTGGTGCCTGACATATATAAATGTGTCGATAATCAGTTAACTTTATTAACATCATCAGGGTATATCACTTGAGCCGTACTTGAAAAATTAAAGAGCTGTGGCCATATTTTTGCCCTCAGCTGGTGAAGCAGATCATAGTGATCACGTTTAGGCATATGCTGACCTTGAAAATCAAGATGCTGTGCACACCGTGTGCATGTGGAGACCCGCACACATTCATGTTCACGTGTTAATTTAATTAGTTTATTATCTGTTTATTTACTGGTATCCTGCACCGTCCCAGAAATGGTTCAAGCCAGTTTTGCCATGAGAAGGGTTTGGGTGTGCGGGGCTGTGGGGAAAATCTTTTCATGTTTCTGCACCGCTAGGGCTTTCTGAGCAACTCTGACGGAAACTTGAGATCTACGCTTAAAGGAGAAAGCTTGGAAAGTCGGCTCATGACCCATCAGCTAGTGCGAACTCCAGAGAACGCGCCCGCCCTGGAGGTACGTGCGTGGATGTCAAGGGCAGGTGAGCCCCACACGATGGAGGCAGCCCCAGGGCGGGCAACCCGGGTTGTAAAGCTACTAAAAAGCTACTAGTCGTAGCTTGCCCTGGACAGCTGCGTTGACATTGCGAAGGCTGAGACCAGGCATCCTCGTCCTTCTCTCTGCGGAGACACTAGGGACTCAGATGCTTTCTCGCCCTCTCTCAGAAGTCCCATCTCCCACATAACCACCCAGAAAGTCTGCTGTCCCCTGGGTCAGACGACGGTGCGTCCCACTGGAGGGACGCCGTGCAGCTGGGCAACGGAAGGAGCTGCTCTGTACGCTGATGCGGGACGAGCTTGAAGATACTGACGCAGGCAGGGAAAAAGTAAGGTTTAGGATGGTGTACGTAGCGTTTTAGCGTTTTGTTCACAAATAGATTCACTCATGGGCTTGTGAATGGATCGACTATTTCCAGAAGGGGAACCCAGACAGTGGTAAGAGAGGTGGCTTTGGGGGTCGGACAAACAGGAGGAGAGACGGAGTTTCCCGGATACGCCTGAATGGACGGCCCCGTGTGCGTCTGGAACTATGTAAATGATTACCTGCTCAAAACACTAAACTAAAAATGCTAACCTAGGATTGCTTCAGAAAAATATGCCGGAGCCAAGCCCAGGGAAGACACTGTGGTCACCACCACTGCCGTCACCTGGCCCCGTCTCTGGGCTTCCTGACTCTCCTAGGGGACACTGCTCCTATAGGGGCGGGGTGGGGGTTCATGGGGCCTCAGCACTGCCAGCCCAGCCCAGGGGCCCAGCTGGAAATCCCGCCCCTGTGGGGCAGGGACAGTGGGCCAGGCTGGGCCTGCATCTTCTGGTGGTTTCCCAGGGACTCAGGACCAACTCTCTCAGCCAGGCCTCCTCTGCAGGAAGGGCGAGTGCCCCTGTCCTATGCCCGCAGGGCCACAGCTTGGGCCTCTGTCCCTGCTGTGCCTTCTCCTGGATGCCCTTCTTCAAGCAGATGGTGCCAGGACTATAAAATCCAGCTTCAAAGTGTCCTTCAAGAGGCCACCTTATCCACGAGTGCCTGCCCTGCCACGGGGCTGTCCTGCAGACCGTGGGGGGTACAGGTGTCTCCTTCCACCCCACAGGCAGGAAGACCCAGTGACAGAGGTCTTGAGACCCTGCTGGCTCCGGCCCTTGGCTGTGGGCATTGCAGGGAGCTGGGGCACAGATGTGGTGGGCACACGACACTCTAGACTGGGTCCCCATGGCTGCGGCTCACTCCTTTCAAAGGCCTGCCCGACTCTGCCATGTCTGAAGCCAAAGGAAGGCAGGATGCAGGAATCTCACTTACAACGTGAACACTGAGACTTGGGACCCGGGTGGGGAGGGAGAGAGAGAAGCAGCCTCTGGCAGGTCCCGTCACCACGCCAGCTCCTCACTCAGTCTGTTTGGGGGACAACTGTCCCAGCTCAGGCCGGGATCTCTGGATGACCGCTGTATGGCCGCCGGGGACTGTTCTCCACGGGCTCCCTGCCATTCCTGCAGCCGTCCCTCTGCATTCTCCTGCTCGCCCTGCAGGCCTCAGCGCCTGGTCTTTTCCTTCAGGGAGTCTTCCAGGACGCCTGCAGTCCGGGCCAGGTCCCCTCCCTGTCTGATGCTGCCTGGGTCACTCCATTTCCTGGTGTGTCTCTGCACCCCATCCCCACCCCGCCCTGCCCCAGAGCTCGGGCAGGGCAAAGACAGGGTCCTAGACACCTCCTGGCCCCGCACGCGGCAGGCACACATGCACAGTTCAACACTCATTAAGCTCAGCCCCTCCTGCCCAGCCAGCCCGAGACCCCCACCCCAGGGCAGAGGCAGCCCCTGGCACCTGCCAGCCGGTGCCTCCTCACCTGATTAGCTTTCTCCAGGTTGGTCATGATCAGGCCGACTTCATCTGCCCTGAGACACAAAGACAAGACCCTGAGAAGGGCTCCCGGCAGCCCCCACCTGAACCCGAGGGAGGGCTGGGGATGCTGCCTTCCTCCTTGCTCCTGGGAAGAAACCAGGCTGGGGAGAAAAGAACCCAGGCTGCGGGGAAACAGGAAGAGGGCCCCAGCACTGCACCTCTTCCAGGCAGCCTGGCCATCCCCCTCCCCCAGGGGCCACTCTCCAAAGAGCTACACCCCCGGGCCTTCGTCCCTGCTGTGCCTTCTGCCTAGAGCCTTCCTCGAGAGGGTGCCCAGGGCTTTAAACCAGCTCCAAAGCGTCCTCCTGGGTGGCTTCTGTTAACCACCCCCAGGGGGCACCTGTTTATCGTGCTGCCCACACCCTCCAGATGCCAGCACCGAGGGGCTCAGGATAGGCCTCCCTCTGCCTTGCGTGGGGTGGGGGACACGGGAGGCCTGTTGGGAACATTCGGTGCCTAAAGCTCCACCCATGCTCAGGGCCTTTCTTGGCCCAGGCTTTTTCTGCAGACTAGAGCACCCTTCCCAGCATTCTTCATGGCTTCTCCTTCTCGTTTAGCTCTTGTCCTGAAAGCTACCTCCTCCAGGGAGTCCTCCCTGATTAGCCTGGATAAAGGACCCACCCACCCTTGCTATTCTCTCTTCCCGCCCCCAGTTCTTCCTGTCAAAGAATTGACCACGTGCTGAGAACAGCACGGGGCATACAGTAAGTGCTCAATAGTGTACGGGAATGAATTTATCATTCCACATCAGTTTTTCCCTGTCTCCTTTCTTCCTCTGAGGACAGGGTCATCTTCTCGCGTGTCCTCCAGGGACCCAGCACAGCACTAGATAAACAGCAGGTGCTCAACAAGTGTTTGCAGAATGAGTGATCTCTCAGAGCCTGAAGAAGGGTTTGCGTCCAGAGTAACTGAGGTGAAGGCCACTTGGCCCCCAAGGGCTGGAGTGTGGAGCTGGGGGCCGGAGACAGCCCCGAGGCTGGCGCAAGGCGGGGGCCACTGCCCGGCAGCCCCGGCTCAACCCAGGTCCCGGTGCGCGAGTGGCACAGCAAGTGACGGGGGCGGCTGTGTGCCGCGGGGGGACAGGGGCAGAGGGGCCTGAAGAAACGGGGCCTCGGGCAGAGTCAGAAAGGGGAGGCACGTCTGAGGGGTCGGAGGGGGAGGCCCCCTCAGCGGGGCGTCACTTACTTGGACGCCGCCTCCTCGTCGTATTTCCGCCGCAGCTCTAGCAGCTCGGCCTGCGTGGCCTTCAGCGCTGGGAGGGGACAGAGAAGCAGGGTGAGGCCCCCGGCGTGGGGCGGGGCTGGGCCTCCCAGGGAGGCGAACCCGCTCCCCCTGGGCCGGCAGGTGGAGTGACGGTCGGGGTAGTCGGGGAGACGCTCTCCTCTGTCTCAGTGAAACCTGGTGACAGGTAGTGCGCCCCCCGCACCTGCAGGGGGTCCGGGCTGGGGGGAAGGACGTGGAGCGACCCAGCAGCAGGGCAGATGAGGCGACTCTAAGGGTCTAGGAAGCTCAGGGGGGCAGGCTGGGCGCAGGCACAGTGGTGCTGTCGGCCCCATGGCCTGGGGCCCAAGCCCCGACACCCTTCAGTCACTCCAGGACCTGGTGGGGCTGTCCATCCACGAGCCCAACCACCCTGCAGTCCCCACTTGGCAGGCAAAGGGGACAGAGGAGCAATAAAGCCAACAGATCCATGTACGTCACCGCCAAGGGGGATTCTGTGACATTCCGCATTTCCGACTTCTCTAGGCAAAGGGAAGGGCTTGCCGTGTGAACCGTGCGGAACCGCAAGGCCCGGCTGGCGCAGAGCAGTGGCTGCCGCTTCAGCCGAGGCCTCGTTTCTCCAGTTCGCCCCAGACCCCAACCCTCCCCGCTGCCTTCCCTAAGCCGCGGCTCAGGAGTGTGCCTGACCCCCGTGTGCACCGTGTCTGCCCCCGGCTCCATGCTATCTCAAACCCGCTTTCCACAGACCTACGGGCTCCAGGGAGGAGGCTCGGACCCCTGCTGGGTAAGGCAGCTCTGCTCTCTCCCTCCCCAAACTCCCTCCGGCCTCCTGATTCTAGAACACCTGAGCGTGCCGGATACGTACCTGAATGTAGGACTTTGATTTTCTCCTCTGCCTCCCCCAGTCTGGCCGCCAAAGTGATTTGTACTTCTTGAAGGCCCCTGTGGGGAGACCAGGGCTGCTCGTGGCTGCGGGGACGGGCCGTGCCTGGGTCCCATCCTGCTTCCCGTCTCACTTGCGCCCTGTCATCGGCACCCGGCTTCTCAGCGAGCCCTTGAACAGGACACCCTGTGCTTGGCCGTCCTGCTGTTTGCTGTGTTGCCGTATTATGGCTGGACTGTTACGTTTCTGTCGACATTTTTGGGAGCAAAAATTTACAGCAACAAGCGACTTTACCTTTCTGGGCCTCAGTTTCCCCATCTGTGAATGGGATTTCTGGTGGGAGCTGCCTCAGTGGGTGCTATGGGTGCTCAGTGAGGCGGCCGGCACCCTGTACTCTCTGTGTCGGGGTTACTGCTACTGTCCCGAGGGAGGCACGTGCCCCCGTCTTGCGGCAGGAGTGTGGACACTCAGCCACCCCACTGGGGCCCGGCTCGGGTGTGAGTTAAGCCTCTCTGCAGAGAGGGGCCCGAGTTGGGTGGCGGAGGGTGCACACGATGCCCAGGCCTGATGTCACCTGGCTCGAGGTATTTATCTTGTTTATTCACGTGTTTTCCTCACTAGAAAGAAAACTCCAGGGGGGCCAGGGAGTTTTGTCTGCGTCGTCACTGCTGTGTTCCCAGCGCCTAGAACAGGGCCTGGCACACGGCAGGCGGCGCCACAGACGTGAGATGACGGAAGGAGGAAGTACGGATGAATGAAAGGATAAATGTCACCCCTTCCACAGAACTGTCCTGGGAACGCCCCATGACGCCAGGTGCTATCACCGCCGCTCCAGTGGTAAAGGCCACCACTTCCGGACACGCACCGACAGGCACTGCCTGGTCTCCCTCCCGCAGGCTAGGAGTGGACGCCACCGGTGACTGTCAGTGTCGTGTCCACCTGGCAAGGCTATGCCCCCAGGTATTCAATCACATGCTAATTTTGGGGTGGCTGTGCAGATACCCTGTAGGTGTGATTAACACCGACAAGCAGCTGACGTGAATCCGCAACCACGTGGGTGGGCCTCACCCAATCGGTTGAAGGTCTCAGGAGGGAGAGTGAGGAAGACGGCGCTCTGCTTCAAGACCGCAGCACTGACTCCTGCTCTACGAGTTTCGGACTTGCCAGCCCCCACAGTCATGGGAGCTAAGTCCTCAAAATGCATCTCTTAATAAAAAACCATCCTACTGGTTCTGTGTCTCCGGAGCATGCTGCCTGATGTGTCATCATTAGCCCCATTTGCCAGGTGGGGAAACTGAGGCTCAGAAGAGTGATGTGACTTGCCCAGGGCTGCTGTGTCACTCAACCCAGGCCAGGAGTCCAAAGCCCTCGCTCCTTCCAGCATCTGGTCTCCAGCCTGCACCCGGATTCCCTGAGGCTGGTTCCCGGGCAGGGGACTTTCCCGATCCCACCTCCCGGCCAGGGGTGCGCCCCGCCCTCCCCTGTTCCTCTGTCCCTCGCCCCCTCACTTTTGTTTCTCCGCCTCATTTCTCTGCAGCAAGGTTTCTGTCAGGAGGGCTTTCCCAGGAATGCCTGGGAGGCGGCTCCCCTCGGTCAGCGTGGGCCCGGCAGGCGACGTCCCCTCTCTCTGCTCTGCAGGGAGAAAAAGAGGGAAAAACACCCATCGGTGAGAGCACCGTGGCAGCCAGAGCAGCGTTCTGCAGAACGGATCGGTCGTCAACTGCGATCAACTTCCCAAACGTGGGCGTCAGGGAGCACAGCTGTTGGGCCCCGCGGCCCCACGTCTGCACGCAGATCTGAGTTCCCGTTGCCACAGCCTTGGACCACACACCTGGAAACGTCCTTTGCCAGCTCATGTCTCCTCCGCCTTGTTATTTTTTAAAAAAATTGTAGTAAAATATATGTAACGTAAAACTCACTATTTTTACTGTTCTAAAGGGATACTGAGTACAGCCACAGTTTTGTGCAATCATCGCCGCTAATTCCAGGACATCCTCATCACCCCAGAAGGAAACCCACACCCGTTAAGCGACCCTCTGTCTCCCCCCGCACAACCCCTGGTAACCACTAACGTGGCATATCAGTGGGATCCTACGTTACGTGTCCCTTTGTCTGGCCTCCTCCACCAGCACGCTGCTTGCAGGTTCGTGCGCGGTGTAGGAACTTCATTCTTCACGCCCACGTGCTATTCCATCACAGGGCAGACCACGCCGCGGTCATCCGCTCACCACGGACGGACATCGGCTCGTCTCCTCTTTTGGTCACTGTGAATAGGGCTGCTCTACACATTCCCGGAGGAGTTTTTGGTGGAGCAGTTTTCAGTTCCTGGTGACAGACCTAGGGGTGGCATCGCTGGGCCACACAGCAGGTCTGTGTTTAACTCACGGAGCGGCTGCCAGATTGTTTTCCTCTCCCCGTCGTTGGGGACGCACACAGCTCCTCGGCCACCCGGCCTCACCTGCAGGTGCAACCACGTGGCAGGGCTCTGTCACGTCCGCCCAGGCAGGCCCTGATGCGGCTCGTCCTGGGGATGGACACTGAAGTCACCGTGGAGGAAGACGGCGCTCGGGGCGGCCACTGAGGCGGGAACCTGAACTGGGCTCTGAGTTTTCTCAGCAGCTGACGGACCACATGTTTTATCATCTGTTTGTCGACATCAGTCTCCCCTTCTAGAACGTCACCACCATGAAGCGGCGTTTCCATTTGCTTCACTCCCAGCTGTCCCTGTTCCCGGGACAGTGCCTGGCGCAGCTCAACGAGCTCCCAGCAATCAGACGGTGGCTGATGGCCCTCCCTGCACGCTTGCTTGTCCCGCTGCTCAGCCCCAACTCACCCACCAGGGGTGACTGCCTTGCTGAGTTTCGTTCCTCGTTTCCTTGCTTTAAAAAGTTTTTATCGTCATATATGTACGCCAAAACACTGTGTTTTTAGCTCCGCCAGTTTGATTTTTGTTGAAAGGGCGCGGTGCTCAATGAGGTCCTCTAGTCCTGAAGATTCATCTGTTGCGAGTGTAGCTGTCGTGCGTTCACTGCGACGGCAACAGGGTTCCACTGTGTGGAGATGCCATTTGCCTGTCTGGTCTCCTGTCACAGGGCGTTTGGCCTGTTCCAGGGCTGTGCTGTTACAGGCCGTCTTTCCGAGGGAGGCTGTGCTGTCCCACCCCCCGGTGCTGCTCGGGCCCTCTCTGTTGCTGCCCCAGGGTCCTGGGGGCGACAGTGAGGAGCTCATGGGGCCCCGGATCGGGTCTCCTGTCTTGCTCTGTGGACATCAGGCTCTGACCTCCAGCCCTGGCTCCCTCGGTCTGGTTCGTCATTAGTCCCAGGCTTAGAGGCTCAAAGGCACAACCACATAGTCTCCCCTTAGGCCCCAACACTAAGGTTCGGGGTCTCTAAGGGCCCACGACCACACGCTCCCAGTCCAGAGGCAGAAAGGAAAAACGGCATGTCAGCTAGGACTGTCATCGGCTCAGGTATTCTGAAGGCTCATCTCTACCCACATCTGTGCCTGCGATGGCGCTGTGTGTCCCGCCATCCCAAGTCCCTCTCCTCTGGGACACACAGCCAGACCACATTTCCCAGGCTCCTTTGCAGGGGGTGCTGCCACACCCCGGCGTTGTGGCCAGTGGGATGTGGGTGGAGGGATGGATGCTACTTCCCGGCTTGCACCCCGTGAGCCTCGGTGTGACCTCCACATTCTTTCTGAGCTTTGGGGTTTCTCTGTTCCAGCAGTAGTGTTCCCTTATGCACCCCTCACCAGAAACGATAAAGCCCAGTTCTCTGCCCCCCACCTCCGTGCCAAGGGTGGCCGAGTTTGCCCGCTGAAGACCCGCTGCACAGACACCCTGTGAAGCCTTCGCGGTACCTTTGGGGCCGAGGAGCTCGGGGTTCCTCTTCCACGAAGCGTGGAGGTCTCGCCGGGGCTGCCCACTGGAGTGGAAGCCGGGGGGCTGCAGTCTGTCGTCTAGGCTGCGCACCGCTTCAAACACAGGCACGGGGTCTGTGCAGAGAGAGGAGATGGGAGCTGAGGGCCCTGTGGACGGGACACCCAGCCTGAGGCTGCAGGTCCCTCTCTGGCGAGCTGGGGGGACCATCCACAAGAGCCGCCTGGGGTCACCCTGGTGGCTTATGGGGAGCAACGTGGACTTTCTGCTTTACAAGGGAGCAGCCCCCTCCGGGCTCCTGCTTGGGGGAGTGTGTGCTGTCCCCATGGGGTGGGTGTCCTGCCCAGATGGGAATAACAACAATAATAATTGTCACGATAACTGCGTTTCTTGATTCTATGATACCATCTGTGGCAGCCACGAGACTGCCTTGCAGAGAGCTCCAGCCAGAGTGAGCGTCACTGAGCAGGGACCCAGATGCCACGCTCTGAGGTCCATCACTCTGAGGCCACCCCTCCCACAGCCTCCTCCGACGATGCCCACGTGCAGCGGGGATACTGAGGCAGGACTGCTCTGAGGGCCAACTCTGGCTGGAGGACGCCCCCACAGCCTCACTCAGCGCTTCCTCGGCCCGTGTGGGGTCCGGGATGCTGCCCAGCTGCATCCCTCCCTGTTTCCTCCGTGACATCCTTGTGCGCGTGGTCCTCTGTGGCCGCTTCTCAGCCGACCTGGCTGAGCACACCATCACTTATGACGTGCGCCGCGGATTAAATAACGGCTTTTCTGGGGGGCAGAGTATACACCTGGGGGAAGACATCTGCCAACTGCCCAGTCACTGAAAGGTGAGGCATGTGGAATTTGGTTCCCTGTCCCCACCCTCCGCCCAGCAAGCACGTCCCCTTCCACTCTGGAGTCCAGCCCACTTCTTCCAGGACGCTTTCCCCCATTGCTCCCCAACCCAGGGCAGGTACTAGTAACACCCGGACAATTCCGGAGGCCAGTGAGGCGCCTTCCAGGTTAAAAGCCCCCCCAGAGGAAGGGGCTCCCATGATCCTCACAGCGTCCCCTGGAGGCCAGTTTGGATCCAACGCATTCTCATGGGGGAGGAAACTGAGGCTCAGAGAAGCCAGGTGACCTCTGCAGGGTGAAGGTGAGACTAGGATCTGGGTCTCTTGCTCCGATACCACAAATCTTCCTGTCCTGGTGTGTGCACATCCCAGCCCCGGCAGCGGCAGGGTCCCTGGGGCCCGGGAGAGCCAGGCTCCTCTGCCCAGACCAAGGGGCCTGGGGTCTGGTCCAGTTCTTTCTAATATACTGGAGCCCTCTCTTCCCGGTCACTTCCCTGGAGTCTCCCGCCAGCATGCGCCTGGCCACTCACTGTCCCTGCTGGGCAGGAGGATGAGTAAGAGCATGGTCTATAAGTCAGACATCCCTGCACCCTGGTCTAATCCATACTTGCTTCTTGGGAAGCTGTGCAACCTTAGCAAGCAACTCTACCTCTCTGTGCCCCACAATAAAAGTAGCAACTGCATGGGGCTGTGATGAGGATCCACATACAGTACTCCATGGCGACTGACGACAAACAGAAACCCTCGCTGTTCCTGTCTTTCTGAGCTCCAGCTGCACTGGCTTCCTTCTCAATCCCTGATGGGTGCCTTCCCACCTCAGGGCCTTTGTCTAGGAGCCTCTGCCAGGAACACCCTTCCCTCCCTCATTCCTTTCAGCTCGTTAATACTTGTCTTCCATATTGCAACTGCAACGCCACCCCTTCCAGGAAGCTCTCCTTGACTAGTCAGCCCTCCAATACGCATTGCCTGTCCTTCCCTCACTGAGCCCGCTGCAACTACAATGTGCATTCATTTGCAGGCCCACCTGATCAACACCCATGGGACCGTGAACTCCACAGCAGGGTCCGGGACAGTACCTGTTTTTGCCTCCCCTCCTCCCCCGCCCCTGGACCCCCTGTGCCTGGCACACAGCCTGACACCACAATCCCACCCTGTAAATATTTGCTCATGGAAGAAACGGGGCAGTGCCTGTACATGGGACCTTCAGGTCTGGCTGGAACAAGGCGGCCTCTTCGATTTCTTCTGCCGCCTCCTGTTTAGGTGGCGGGAGCTCGGACAATGGGCGCCTGTGCCGAGGTAAGCAGGTGCGCGGGGACGCCACGGCGGCGCTCCTCTGTCAGCAGCCCCCACGCCCCGTCATTAGGCAGGGCCTGCTCAGCAGGGTACGCCATTATGTCTCCCCGGGCTGATGTAATTATACATTGACATAATTAACCCAGCAAGCGCATTAGGCAGGCCAGCTAAAAATTCATCTATAATTATTTGTTGTGTGCATGCTAATGAGTCCATCTGCACTGCCTTTGTACAACACGAACAAATTAATTTACAAGTCTGGATTTTTTAATAAGTTCAAGGAAACGCTTCCTATTGTGTCCTGGTTTCTGAGAAAGGAAGAAAAAGGCAACGAGCGCTCGCCGGGGTCAGGGAAGTTAGATAAACACGGGAGGCCGCGGTGCCAAGCAGGCCACGGAGGGCCTGCCCTGCTTCCGAGGGGGGAGGATCGGCTCGTGGCCCAGGGGCCCGGCTGGCCGTGAGCCCGTCCAAGCCAAACGATTCCGCTCGGTGATAAAGGATGTCTGTCACTCACCCCATTTACGGGGATTAGGTATCAATGTTTCGTTCTGCTCTGAGGCCTGCGGGTCACTCCCTGCTGGCTCTGTGCTGTCCTGGGGAAGCTGGCCTCAGGTGGCCGGTTGCCGACACAGTGTAGAACACAGTTGTTACGCTCACAGCATCTGAAGTCCAGCTCTGGGTCCAAATCTCATGGGGTTTTGAACCTCAGTTTCCTCATTTATAAAATGGGAAAAATGTAACCTTTCCTACTTCCCAGGAATTATCGGGAAGATGAAGAAAGATCCCGAGAGAGGCAGTATGACTTACGGAGCGGGTGTCCACTCGACTCCAACTGGCCATGCTAGTTAACCTCCTGGAGCCTCTGTTTCCTCATCTGTAAAATGGGGCCGCATGTGTGGGGTGTTGCGAGGACTGGGGAGAGAAGGTGTGCAGGGCTCGCTACATGCGGGCTGCTGGTATCCTGAGAGACCCAGCGCACCAGGCTCCTGGCATTCCCAGAGCGGCTGTCCACAAGGGGACGCCTTGGAGTCTTGGGGACAGGCTATGGCTTCCCATGTTTGCATCGGTCCCCAGGAGACGCAGAATCCAATAATCTTGCTTTGAACTAACTTCACTCTGGGGCCCAAAGATTCCAGCTTAGAAAGTCACACTGGGGAGGGACACATCAGATCAATTTGTCCAACATCCCCCCAGCCCCAGTACGCAGTGCGGTCCAGTGATGTCCCTGAAGTCTGCCCGAGTTGGTGGCAGGGCTGAGACGGGCCCTTGGACCTTTTCCTCCCACACTCCGCTGCCTCCTGGTTCCCCGATCTGAGGGAGAGGGTGGTGGGAGGGTGGCGTTCAGACACCTCAGCCAAAATCAGGCCGTAATCGAATCCCAGCAGCCAAAGCAGGGATCAGAATCCATTCACTCTGCACCACGACACTTGAGGTCCTGGAGTGTCTTCAAGCGACCCTGCTGGCTCTTCAGCAGGGGGCGGACCTGAGTCCCCTAGGGAACGTATCACGCATCCTTGGGACTCAGTCCTAAAGATTCCTGCGTGGACCGTTTGTGCGTCACTCTCAGTCTTTTCAGGATAGAGGTGGGGATCCCGCACGGCCCAGCTGTTAGACCTGTGGGCCGGGGGGACGTGGGGTTGTGACTTCCTCTTAGCTTCCCAAGGGGCTGTCAATCAAGATGTCCTGCCTTCCCCTGGCAAGGAGGGTCACCTGACTCAGGCTGGCCAATCAGATGCTCTGCCCTGGGAATTTGAATCCCTCCCTGCAGCTCCCGCTGCTCTGGCCCGTCTGAGCAGGTGTTCTCACCATTCTCCCCACCCTGGGCCTTCTAACAAATTCTTCTCCTGTTTAATAGCTTTGCCAGAGTTGGCTTCTGCTGCATGTCACTGAAGAACCCTGATTGATACACCGGCTGAATTTTAACCAAGGGAGCCCAAGAAACCACTGGGCCAAGAGGTTCACTTCAAGGCTGGGTAAAAATTGGGCCACACAATAACGGGATTGAGGAGCAGATGCTCAGAAGAGAGTGGGGGCCAGGCACACCCAGGCTTTCCCCGGCACTGTCGCAGGCTTGGAGCACGACATCTGGCTTAGTTTGGGCTGACTCTCAGGGCAGCCTGGCTAGGACACAGCCAGGAAGGACAGACCTGCCACAGTGAGCCAGGAGGAGGAAAGAGGCCCCAAAGGTCTGTTTGCTGACACATAGTAGGCGCATAATAAATGTCTGCTCAATAACTGAGGCAACTGGAGGTTAGTGCTTATGGCCTAGAGGCCCTTCTGAGTTGCAGAAGGGGAAAGCTTGGCTTGAGTAGAAGTCTGATCAGTGTGAGAGCAGGGGTGGGGAGGCGAGCCTGGAGCACAGCTGTGGGGGCAGAGCCATCTGGGTTCGAATCCCACCTCTGCCACTTACTCAGTGTGGGGTCTTCAGTAAGGCATTTCAGACCCATAAGCCTCAGTGTTCCCTTCTGTAAAATGGAGACACTAACAGCATCTATACCAAGGTTACTGTAAGGAATTGGTGATGTAAGTTCTGTAAAGCAGTTAGCACAGTACCCGGCATGAGTACTCAGTACAGGACAGCAGGATTATTCTCAGGGAGGCTGGAGGGGACCCACTCTCACGTCCCAGCTCTGCTGTGGTACAGCCCGGTTTTGTCTCTTGGGCCAGGCTGCTTTGAGACAGGGCATGGGGTCCTTGATTTCTTACTATTAGGCTAGAAGCATGGGACTGAGGGCTCTCCTTGGTTCTGTCGGCTTGCTGTGTGACCTCAGACAACGCACTGACCTCTCTGGGCTCTCTTGTCCAAATTCCTATTACAAGCATGTCCCAGGCGCACTCACTCAATATTGGTCGTCGACAAATAGGGGCAGGGTTCCGCTGAGGTGAGCACTTTTGGCCCCAGGCCTATCCCTCAGAGCTGGGATGTTCAGAGAACGTGATTATTAAACACTTTCACGGTTGAACTTGATATAAGA